CTCGCCCATCGATGTCGTCGATCTGCGCCGCCGCTCGCAGCGTCTCTTCCAGCAGCACCAGCAGCGACTGCCCCCGATCCATGCCCATCCTGTGCTGCAGCAGCAGCAGTCCTCGGAGGTGTCCCTGTCGCCGCGCAGCAGCCTGTCCATGGAAACGCCGCCCGCATCGCCAATGAAATATAATGCAGGAGCCGATCAGCTGCCGTTGCCGCTGTCGCTGCCGCTGCCGCCACCACCCCATTCCCTCAAGGAGGAGCCCACCTATGCCAATGCTCTGCCCGCCCCGCCTGCCTACACAGCCCCGCCGCCCGTACCTATCGGCGCGCCTGGCGTCAGGGCACGGCCCTACGACCTGGACTCCACTGTGCTGGACTGCATGATGCTGGAGGCGAAGCTGCAGAAGCTGAACCTAAACTCGCCGCACAATCTGGCCGCTGCGCCGCTCTCACCCATTTCGGAGAAGCCCTCGCTGCTGGATCTGCCCCTGGAGATGCTCAGCCGCTCCTCATCCACCTCGAACACGCGCTCCGTTTCGGCGGCCGTCAGCAACGAGTCGGTGGCCGGGGATTCGGGCGTCTTTGAGGCGTCGCGTGCCCATCTGCCGCGCAAAGAGCTGGCCCAGGTCCAGATCGGACTCAAGTATCTGAAGCAAGAGGGTGTCCTGGTGGTATCCCTGGAGCGAGCCAACAATCTGCTGGCCCTGTGGACAGCCTCCGCGGATAACTCTCAGGTGTAAGTGCCACAAAAACCGATTAGTAAGGCACCAGCTCATGATCTCGTGATCTCTTTTGCCCCACTCTAGGTACCTGCGTGCCGCCCTGCTGCCCAACTCATTGACTTCCATACGCACCAAGGCGCTGGGTGACTTCCAGAAGCCCGTCTTCAATGACACATTCGCAGTGCCCATATCGCTGGACAAGCTGCTGACCAAGAGCCTGCAAGTGACTGTTGTCTCAATGACAGGCCAAAAGGAGGAGATTATTGTAAGCGCCCCCCTAAACGAAAGGAAACGTCAACATTCAGACAATAACCATTCCCCTTTTGCCGTTGTCTTTAGGGCACTGTGCAGATCAGCATGGCCGAGTTCAATCCGGAGGACTCCACCTTGAAGTGGTACAATGTCCTCAGTTCGAAATTCATTCCCAGCTTTGAGTCGCTGGACATTCCCTCCACGAGTGCCGCCGCAGCAGCAGCCGCCGTTGCGGCCAGCAACTCCTCGACGAGCAGCAGCAGCACCACCACCAACAACAACAACAACAACAGGGAGGAATCATCGGATGAGTCCACCATCACATCCTCGCAGACCTCAACCCTGACACGCAATCAGGCGCCACCACTGGAGCTGCAGGCGCAAATAGCCGAGGAGCTGCCACAGAATGGTCGTCTCAATGGCCAGGAAAGTGACGACGATGACGATGATGAGGATGATGACGATGATGACGATGATGAGGATGAGGAGGACAGCAACAAACAGCTTGTCAGTGATGTGGGCCTAATGAACTGTAAGTAACTGAACTTTTTGTACCCTTAACATGCGCACAACTAACGAATGGAATCCGTTTTTGTGTTCAATCAACAGCTGGCTGCATGCTGGATACCTATCTGCAGAACATGAAGCAGGAGTATGCCGACAAGGAGACAAACACCGAGTGCGCCTTCATGCCGGAGAAGCTGCGCTCCCACTCCCAGCTGATGGACGACAGGCCCGTGAAGCGTTCACAGACCTTCACCCCATCGGCGGCGATCAGCAAGAATCGCTACAATTGTCGCCTGAATCGCAGCGATTCGGACTCGGCCATGCACTGTGGCGTTGCACCGCACACGTTCCAGCGGGGAGCCGCTGAGCGTCGCTCCCTGCGCTTCCACACAAAGGCGCCCAAGTCAGTCACAAGTAAGAAAGAAAAGCAAAGCCTGATGGGTTGCAGCCTGGCTAAACATAAATTTTACTCTCGATTCTAGAACTGCATCATACTCACATACCCCGCACCAGTTTGGACTTGGAGCTGGATCTGCAGGCGCAGCACAGCAAGCTCTACTTCCTCAACGATCAAATTGCCAAGCTGCAGAACCTCAAGGAAGTGTAAGTGTGGATGGCACCACCCACCAATTAAATTGTAAACTAATTTATGTGTTTTATATTGTCGCAAACAGTTTGCAGAAGGCCTGTGAGAACAAGGATCCTCTTATTGCCGCCTGGGCCATTGAAAATGAGGAATTTCAACGTCTGGTGGCACGCGCCGATCCCGCCAAATGTCCCGAGGAGCGTCAGCTTCAGAAGTTGCTAATGAAAACCGCCAAAGAAATCCATAAGCTGCGGAAGACCAAGGTGCCCAAGGGCTGCCCAGATTTGGTGTCATTCAAGTAGGTTTCCACCAGAAAGTTGCATTTATTTCTGTTGTATTTATCTAATTATTTGTTTATTTTGTATTTTTGCAGAGAGAAGATCTCATTCTTCACACGCAAGGGCCTGTCCGTGCCCGAGCTGCCCAGCGAGTTCACTTTGCCCGATGCCAATCCCATCGAGGAGGAGGAGGAGGAGGAAGAAGAGGACGATGATGAGGATGAGGACAATGCCGCTGAGACGGCAATTGCCATCAACACGGCGCTGGTGGCCAGCAACAATCGTAACAAGAATCTCAGTGAGCACCACCATCGAGCCGCAAGCGGAGCAGTGCCCAAACTGCCAGCCCCAACCATTACTGGACCAGCAGCAGTCACAGCCACAGCCCCAGCCCCAGCCACAGCCACAGCCACAGCCCCGGCCACAGCTGATGCTTCTGCAGTAGCTGCTGCTATTCCTGCTGTAGCTGCTGAGGACGGAGCAGCCGAACCGGATCAGACACGCTACGACTATGTCGTGGATCGCAACTATGGCGTGGAGGTGTAGCTGTAGCTGTAGCCCTGCATCCTGCATCTGCCCCACCCTACTCTACCTTCGCTGTACATTTTTGTAATTGATGTAGTATTTATTTTCATTAAGCAACAAGTATTTATGTGTATAAAACAACTGATGTAACAAATATCTGTGCCTTATAGAGAACGTGTGCGTGGGCGGGGCCCCGCCCCCCTAGGCCCGGGCCTTGATATTTATATTTCTATTCTAAGGCCTATTCGTATATTTAGTATAAACATTTAGCCCTAACTAGACTCATAGTCAGTTGTACAAATTGACCCCCTCTCCCCCACCACACTGATGACCATTTAAGAGACCAACCCCCACATCGAAAGAGAGACCCAAACATAAAAAAACGCGCACATTGTGTGTTCGATACCTTTCAAATTCATATTGAAATCAACTTTATCCTTAAGACTTGAGCAACAAAATGTTAGAATGTTAATGAATATTTTTACATGCATATAGAGATACCCGACCCCGACCCTAAGCCCCACACAAACCATTAAACGGAAACATATTTATTATATTTGCATTGGTTGATATTAATCAAGTGACCACCCCCGCCACACCCTCACATCCAATCGGTTAGTTTAGTTAGCTTGCGTTTTTGTTAAGCTCAAAACAAAATTATTTACATTGTAATTTTTTTTATAAAAAAATCCTATGCGAAAAAAAACAACAAAAAAACACCCAGGCAAACAAAAAAGAAAAAAAAGTGAATGTACCATATTAGATAATCGTCACTATATCTAGTACTTTAAGCACGCCTTAAACACCCGACCCCCAGCCCCCGACCACACCACCAATGAATAGCAAAAAAAACAAAAAGGAAATAAGAAAAGCACTGGATTGAATCATTGTTATGCTCCTCCAAGTGGAGAGGAGAGGACCTGTTGAAACTGTTAAACGGAATTTTTGTATGAAAGGGAAGCGCAAAATAAAACGTGGCTAGCCCCCACAGCTCTATTTAAGTTTAGGTTTTGTACTATGTATGTGCGGATTGTAGGCTCTGCGCCAGATTTGCTGTTGTTTATGTTAACCCAGCCTAATCGTCAAGCCCCAGACCCAGGCCCCATCCGAAACCCCCAAAATTGGGTGCATAATAAAATTTACCTGAAGAATAGCCTCCCCCCAATACACATATTTTTGTATACTGTAGTATCTTTAGTTGTAATAAATTATATGAAAGTGAACATGTATATTGTAATTGTGCAATAAACAAACAAAAAAATACTGACATAACCTAATCGATTCTAAATGTGTTTATTTTTGAATATATTTGGAGCCCGAACTGCCCGAACCCACTTCTGTCAGTCCTTGAACCAAACCACTTGGATCGGTCCACGCTAAGTACGACAAGAGACTGATGGCACACTTTTGCGCTTGTCAGACGAAGTTTAAAACCAAGATGATTTTATTGCATGATTAATAATTATTAAACTTTACTAAAAAGTGAACTGACTGGGGAACAGCAGAGGCAGCAATAATGCTACGGTTCGCGGCTGAGGTCCAACGCTGGGATTTGCATCAGCAGAAGAGCCCACTAAAGTCCCATCGACAGGTGAAGCTGTAGGAATGGATGGTTAATATATTTCGGAAGATAACCTCGCCCTACTTACTTTCATTGGGATCTAGTGGAGCTCCTGGTGCGGGCTGGGCGTACACCGCCACAAACAGAGCCAGGCAAATCAGGACCAGACGCAGAGACGACATATTGGAATGTTGAAAGTAAAGATTCTGAACTGCTGTCTGCCTGGCCATGCAAGGCTTATATAGCCACGCCGTCGCATGAGCTTATGCTATGCAAATGGCATAACAAATTATCTCAGTCATTAGTGATTTTTCTTCCACAGGCTGCCATCATTATGCCTTATCTTAGAAGTGACGGCAAGGCCATGCTATCATTCTGCTTTTTTTAGCGAATGTTTTCCTAGATATTTAGTGAGAAACACTTATCGGACTCTTCGGCTAAACATGTTTATAATGTATGATTAATCAGGTGCCAGGATTATTTGATTCGTGTAACAGAAAAGTTCACAAAAATATCGATGATTGAGGATATGAATCGATATCTTCAGCCTAAAAAGTAATCGATGTTACTATCGACCTTTCGCCAGCTCTAGATGAGGGGCACGTTTTTAAATAATAATACATTTATTAAAAATAAGTAAAAATGGACGACACCGATGTAATGGAGGTGGATAACATGCAGTGCGATGTCTGCGGCGAGCTGAAATTCCAGGAGCGCGAGGGCTACTACTATTGCATCGAGTGCGGCACCAAAAAGGAACAGCTTAGGGCTGTGGAGATTAACGCCGAAGACACTTTTAACGATACAAAAAATCTCACTACGGTGCGGACAATCAAGCAGCCAAAGGCCATATCGGAGGACAATGAAATAACCTCATGGGAGTTCTACAACTATGTACTGCGTGGCTTCGTGCAGGATCTCCTGAATATAGGGGCCAAGCCGGAACTCAAGCTAATGACACTACAGGTGTGGGCCGCCTACATGGGTCGCATGGAGGTGGCCTTTTGCAAGAACAATGTGATGGGTCTTCCCAAGCTCAATGTGCGCTCCCTGCCCAGGTAAACAGTGCTGGCCCAGCTAAATTTAAGTTAAAGTTTCCCATTAAAATGAAGTCTCCTTTTGCAGAGATGCCCGCATTATTTACAATCACAGGCAGGCCAAGCGAAAGAGAGAGAGGCTGGACAAGAGAAATCTTAGCCATGATGATGAGCGCTCCAAGTGGCGACAGTGGAGGAAAACCAAGGTGATATTGTCATAAAAATGTGCCCAGGCCATGGTCCTAATATTGTTCCTTCAGCGCAAGCTAGACGCCACCGGCTGCAGTAAGAAAGATGCCCCTACAGAATCGACGGCGGGACATAGCATACGTTTGCAGTGGTCCTGGAGAGCACGGAAGACATTGAAGCGACATATGCCACTCAAGCATTTGGACAAGCACAGCGTGGACAGCACGGGGAGCATGCGGTGCCATGGCCTGCGCCCAAAGGCCAAGAATCTCGGCCACTTTGATCGCAATATCTTTCTGCTAAACATCAACAAGGTCTATGTGGTACTGGCCATAGCTCTGAACATGGTCGGAGACGATTATCAGCTGACGGACCTGCTGCGACTGATTGACGAGGAGCATCTGACCAGCCGCTATATCCTGAAATATTTGCCAGAGGATGTGGCGCTGCGCGGCAAGACGCTGATCAAGGAGCTGCAAGTTGGCCACCAAACTGACAAGTGTAGCTACGACGTGAGACTCGGATCAGATATGACTTAAACACGAACTGCTAACTGTCGTTGTTCATTGCAGTTCCTACGACGTCAAGTGGGTTACATGTCGCGCTTTATAGATCTCACTGAATTCCTGACGCCGGACCTGACAGCTCTAACACAGCGCTACGTAGAAGAACTGAGCCTGCCGCCTGCAGTGGCCGACTATGTGTGCCGTCTGATGGATGTCTACCCGCCCGAGTTCAAGCACCTGTGGGATACGTGGACATACCCTCGCTATGAGGCCCGGGTCATGGCCTACATCGTCTACGCCATGAAGCTGTTGTTTGGCCTGGACGATATCAAGGAGAAGAAGATATCCGAGTCTGCCGCGGAAGTGAATGAGTGTCTGGAGAAACTACAGAAGGACCACAAGGACGAGAAAGCGCCTGCCAAGCTGTTCGTCTTCGGGGAGTGGATGCAGTTTGTGGAGCTGCGCAAGGTTTTGGTTTCGCACTACAATCAGAGCTTTGCCCAGCGTTTCGGAGTGGCCACCCATCTTGAGCGGCAGCTCGATGACATCCTTATCAAGGAGCGGAAGCAGGAAGAGCACGACAACAACTTCAACGAGGTGGAGATGACGCCGGCCATGCGCCAGAGCGAGAACATGCGCCACACCTTTGAGTGCCGGCTCAAGGAGAATTACGGAGAGGGCAGCGCTGAGATGACGGCCAAGGACCACATCGAGTTTCAGCCCAGCCTGAAGCCCGCTTGCAGCTACTTTAGCCGCCTTCTCCAGCACGCTTCGCGGCCCGAGGGCGAGGACATGAGCGTACAGATACCCGACTATATGCGCGTGCAGCATTCTGAGCGTCAGCTGGATCCATTTATCGCAAAGACCACGGCTCTGGCCGATTACCTAGGCAAATATGATGTCAAGCTGTGCGTGCAGGAAGTCTCCTGCCAGAAGAACTACCAGAAGGTGGGGATCTTCCAATATTACGCAAAACAAGACCAGAAGTGCACGGAATTCCGTGCCAACTGTGACGTACAGGGCGACGAGTGGATCGAAGGGCTGCGAAAGAAGGAGAAGCGTCCGATCTTTAAGTTCCGCCAGCCTGTGGCCACCTATGGCAGACAGTACAAGCTTAAGATGGAGGAACGAGCGGCTCGCCGCACGAAAATGGAGGCCAATAATCCGTTTTGGAAAATTCAAGAGACACCCAATTACCGGCTGAAACTGAACGACGAGGAGTTATCCCTGGACGATCTTAGTTCTCTGCAAGCCTTTTGACGAGGCGCACATGCAACCGCTGTCGTTTCCGCTGGACATGCCTCGCCGACTCATCAACTCTCGACGCACTCTGACCGATGCCGAGATGATCGCGCCAAAGGAAGAAGCGGATGAGGAGCGGGAGGTGCAGGGGAACACGCAGCTGCTGAACGTGTCCAGTTTCGACATCTGGCTGCTGCACGGCCATATGAACAAATTACCGCAGACGTATCAGCGGGAGCTGCGCACCCTGTTCCCCTGCTCCTTCCGCTGGTTGCTGGAGACCTGCGCCGCAACCATTGGCGTCTGCTGGTCTGTGCTTTACGAGCAGCTGCTCGTCCTGGAGGTAGTATTCCACCATGGCATCGAGGACTGGAGCACGCACAAGGACCACCTGCGGCTCAAGTACAATAATACGAACAAGGACATCAATATGATGACCAAAATATATAGAGACATGTGGTAGAATTTATGAATTCCGCCATTTAAGCATTGAGTCACTAGAATAAGCAAAGACCGGCAAGATCATGTACATCTCTGGTGCTATAAAATTTTCATTTCAAATTGACGGTTTCGCTTGTATAATACGATAGTTTCTCAAAAGCAAATGTATCGATGAAGAGTCACGCGTGAATCAGATAAAATACCGGTGTCATCGTTTGCTAATTACAAACAAACATAAATAAAAGTGACCGTTTAGTTCATTGGTATATTTACGGCATATTTTGAAAATGACGTTTCTGAGGTTCCAGTCACACTCGACAAAACAAATCAAGTGAAATATTTATTTTTCCATATATTAATATACTTTTGAAAATGACCGCCAAACTCATTTACCGCACAAAAAATACTGACATTTTTCGCTCTCAATTCGTGGTGGTTTTTCAAAATTTTCAGCAACATGGGGAAATGAGGAGGCAGCATTGTTGTGCAACTCTGGCACGTTGAATGTTTTGAAAAAAACAGTCGATACTATCGTAATAATATCGGGCTCAAATAATTATTAAAAAACCATTGAAACCTTTTAGGAACTTGTCCATTGTAAAAATGAGATGCCACCTGGGGATTTGTTTACAAATTTGTCTTCGTATTTTATAGCAGCCAATCCAAACATATCAAAAGCGCAACGACTGTAGCTCGATACTATCATGACAGTCTCAAAACCATCGATATTAAAGGCTAGCAGTAAAATATCGACACTATCGATAGTGCCCTCTTTGGTTTGACACCTCTAGCAACAACAAAAACAAAGAGATTGCGACGAACAAAATGCTAAGGGTAAACGAACTGAACAATTAATAATCGATGGAAAAAAACTACTCACCGAACGGCTTCCCCATGTAATTTTTTCACAGGCAAGCGGCAAAAAGGACAGGGACATCTTTGACGAGGTTTGGCCCGATAAGAGGAAGATTGTGCTGAAGCTGTTGCGGCAGGACACGGTGTCGCAGCGCGAATGGCAGGACCTCTTCTTTGGCGTGCACTTTGTGTGCCTGTGGGACGAGAAGGGGGCGGCCAAGATATACGACTGCCTGCAGCAGGACATCGTCGAGTTTATTGTGCACGCCCAGAGCCAGGTGCAGGCGCAGCGGGGCGAACAGGCCCTGCTGGCCACCTACATTGTAGAGTGGCGCAAGTTCTTCACACAGTCCAACTATCTGCCCCTGCCCTTCCGTCAGTTGGAACAGTCGCCGCAGGTGAAACCCGCCTCCAGCTCATCCGCCTCGGGGGCCAGCACCGGTGCGTCCACCTCGAATGCGGCCTCCTGCAGCAATCAGGCGGCCACAAGAAGTTCCTCCGTGAATCCGGCCGCACCCTCCTCTGCAGCAGGCACATCGGGAGCCTCCACATCAGCAGCTTCTGCCACAGCGTCCACCTCCGCAACCGCCTCGACAAGTGCCGCCGCCGCTGCGGCTGCGAGCAATACGGCCAGCTCCAGCTCAAAGAAGAATCCCACGGAGGACAGTCCCGTGCGCAAGCTGATGCTCGACTCGTGGAACAAGCACATCTTCCACGACATCAAACACCGCCTGCAGGACTCGGCCATGAAGATTGTGCACGCCGAGCGAAATGGTGACGCCTACGATGCCCAACTGGTGGTAGGCGTGCGTGAAAGCTACGTGAATCTCTCCTCCAACGCAGAGGACAAGCTGGAGATCTACCGCGAGAACTTCGAGATGGCCTATCTGAAGGCCACCGCCGAATTCTACCGCCTAAAATCCACAGAACAACAGCAGCAAAACGGAGTGCTAGCCTACATGAAGTACGCGGACGCCAAGCTGCGGGAGGAGGAGGTGCGGGCCAAGCGCTATCTGGAGCCCAGCAGCTTCAGCATACTCACCTACACCCTGGTCAAGGTGCTCATTGTGGACCACCTCAATTCGATCATTGCCGAGTGCCCGGCCCTCATTAGGGACTACGAGACGGAGCGTCTCAATCTGATGTTCCGCCTGATGGATCGCGTGCTGCACGGCGTCGGTGTGGAGGCCATGATGGGGGACCTGCAGCGACACATTATGTCCGCGGGTCTGGCCGATATGCTCTCCGCCTCGGACATCATTACTCAGGACTCGGAGAAGTATGTGGAGCGACTGTTGGAGCTCTTCAACAAGTTTAGCGATCTGGTGCGCAATGCCTTTAACGATGACCCACGATTTCTCACCGCCCGCGACATTGCCTTCAAGACGGTGGTCAATGACACCAGTGTGTTCAAAGTAAGCAGATCTCTGCTCAGCTCATCTGGGTCTTTGTCCATTCCTCACACCTGATTTCTCTCTTAGATGGAGCTGCCCACGAGCATTGCCAATCGAGGTGTGAAATTTACGGCACCCGAAAGCAAATGCCCCGAGCTGCTGGCCAACTACTGCGACATGCTGCTCCGTCGCACGCCATTGAGCAAACGCCTGACCAGCGAACAGATCGATGCCCGCCTGCGCGATGTCCTGCTCGTACTGAAGTATGTCAATAACAAAGATGTGTTCATGCGCTACCACAAGGTCCACTTGACGCGACGGTAAGTTGCGAGTTGGTGTTCTAAAATCTCGTAATTTTATTCTGATTTGCATTCCATTGGCACAGCCTGATTCTGGGCACCAGTGCAGACAGCGAAAAGGAGGAAGACATTGTCGAGTGGCTGAGAGAGGTGGGAATGCCAGCGGACTATGTGAATCGTCTGGCGCGCATGTTCCAGGACATTAAGGTGAGTCGCCTGTTGCTTGCTCTCTCCCGTCTGACATTCGTTTAATTTTTATGCCCGCAGGTCAGCGAGGATCTAAATACTCAATTTCGCACTTCGATAAGTCGACATGATGCTATCAATATCAAAATACTCAATGCTGGGGCCTGGGCCCGCTGCTCGGAGCGTGTGTCCGTGTCGCTGCCGATCGAACTGGAGGACTACATACCCGATGTGGAGGAGTTTTACAAGAAGAAGCATTCCGGCAGAAAGCTGCAGTGGTACCATCACATGAGCAACGGCACCATCACCTTTGTGAATAATTTTGGACGCTACGATCTGGATGTGACCACCTTCCAGATGGCCGTGCTGTTTGCCTGGAATCAAAGACAGCACGACAAAATCTCCTACGAGAATCTCCGACTGGCCACCGAGCTGCCAGGCAAGACTTGAAAGCCTTCTTCTTATAAAAACGATTCCCTATTCGGTTTTCTTTTTTTTTCCCCTTGCTTGCAGATCCCGAGCTGAGGCGCACTCTGTGGTCCCTGGTTGCCTTCCCGAAGATCAAAAAGCAAATACTGCTGATGGAGCCGGCGGTTATTGGCTCGCCCAAGGACTTTACAGAGAACACCTTGTTCTATATCAATCAGGAGTTTGCCATTGTCAAGAATGGCAAATCGCAGCGACGTGGCAAGGTACGAAAAAGGTGAACCCAAAGGCTCGCAGCGAAGGCTAAGCAAATGCCATTTTCTTTTTCGTTGGCAGCTCAACCTGATTGGGCGCTTACAGCTCAGCACTGAGCGCTCGCAGCAGGAGGATAATCAGTCCATAGTGCAGCTGCGCATCCTGCGCACCCAAGAGGCCATCATCAAGATCATGAAAGTGCGAAAAAGGATGAACAATGCAGCACTGCAGGTGAGTGCACACGAGTGTACGTTTTTTAATTGAAAAGAGATATTAAACGTATCGCATGATTGATAGGGTGAACTCATCGATATACTGAAGAATATGTTCCTGCCGTCCAAGAAGATGATCAAGGAGCAGCTGGAGTGGCTCATCGAGCACAAGTACATGCGCCGCGACGACGACGACATCAATATGTTCATCTATGTGGCCTAACTCTAGTCTCAGTCGGCCCCCATCCCTACCCTACCCTACCCATCTCTGCAATCATTCCTCCCGTTTCCATTTGCGTTTCCATTCCTCAGCACTCAAGCTCCCCAGAGCGTCTTAATCTCACGCCAAGTTTTTAATCTCAATTCTGTTGTGCTCTAAGCACGCTCTAAGGCCTCTCAGCATCCCGACGTGATCTGTTGGATCACTTGGATAATTGTATTATATGGAAATGTGTGCGTCCTCACAGCATTTATACAAATTGTATTTAAATTTATGTCGCTTATTGTATCTCTGCATGTATCTGTTGTATTCCTGTCTACGTATTTTTATATTTCGGTTCCAATTGAGGCTGCCCGGCAGCATAGATCTAGGTATTATGTCCAACCTATCCCTCCCACTCCCACACACACACACACTCACACACAATAAACCGATAATATCAATCGGTGTAGCGCTAATCTAATCATCTCGCTGTATTCTATGTGTTCAGTTCTTTTTGTTGTTGATTTTTGTCTGCTCTTCTGTTGGATTCGTAGATATTTTTTAATGTTCCAAGTGAGAGAGATACACTCACACTCGCAGGGATTGAAGAAGCTGCTATCCTCTTCAATCAGTCCAGCATGAATGCCTAATCACACACACACACATGCCACACACACACACACACACATAAAATGATCGCGAAACTAAAACTAAATTAGCAATACTTTAAGCCTTAAGTTAATAAGTGAATAAACTTGGTTCTACACAGATAAATGAAAGCGAAACGATGGAGTTTTATTGGAACTCAAACTCGAACCCCCCCAACCCAATATATCTCTTCACTAACGAAAATTCCCTAAACTGTAGGGGCAGGTGAATCCCAACAAAAAAGGAGCAACAAGTTGGCGGTGCAGGGGATAAGTTCAGGGCCCTCGTTGCGCATATACAAAAGTAAATCACATTACCCAAAGGAGAGCTGTGCTGAGCGGGGATTTTCTAGCTGATAAGACAGATGGAATATCGAAGACGGAACGTGATGACGAGGTGATCCCCCCTCGAACGTATTTGCGTTCGCTATAAAAGCGCAAGGTGAGCCACAATCAGGCATCAGTCAGCGTTCGTTCGTCCCACAGCAAACACAAGACAACTACAACCAAACACAGCATGCAGAAGGGAAGCATTCTAATTGTGGCACTTGTTGCTCTGGGAGCCATAGCCGAGGCATCGGCTCAAACAATGCCCTACCACCCACCGCCGACACAGCCACCACGCTGGCGGTTCCGTCGCCAGGTTCTGGGCGGTTCATTGGCATCGAATCCGGCCGGGGGCGCCGATGCCCGCATGGATCTGACCAAGGCATTTGGCACTCCCGAACACAATGCGGTGGTTCAGGCGTTTGCAGCTGGAAACACCCAATCGGGTCCAGCCACCGTTGGCGGAACTGCGGCCTACAATAAGTAAGTGGATCACAAGAGCCATCTAACAGGAGTCTAACGAACTTCCCCTCTTTACCCACAGCCATGGCCATGGTGCCTCTGTGACCAGGACCCACACTCCCGGCGTGAAGGACGCCTTCCAGCAGGAGGTGCATGCCAATCTCTTCAACGACGGCGTACACAATCTCGATGCCAAGGCGTTTGCCTCGCAGAACAAGCTGGCCAAAGGCTTCGAGTTCCAACGCAATGGCGCCGCCCTCGACTACTCCCACATCAATGGTCATGGTGCCAGTGTGACGCACAGCAATTTCCCCGGCATCGGTCGTCAGTTGGGCGCTGAGGCCCGTGCCAATCTCTGGTCATCGGCCGATCGCAACACGCACATCGATCTGAATGGAACGGCCAACAAGTGGATGAGTGGCCCGTTCGCCAATCAAAGGACAGACTTTGGCGCTGGCCTGGGTCTGACCCATCATTTCGGTGGTTAAAGCTGACTTTTAGATGATACTTACAATTTGTCATTTTTTACTTAATTTAATTGAAATAATAAAATTTTGAAACTTTTACCAAGAATCCAATGAAACGGTGAATGCATCTGGCTGCTATGACACATGAAAGCTGTCTGCCATGAAACCAGAATAAAACTTCAATCAAGTATAGCAATAATGCCTTATTGTTTATTTAACCTAAAAGTCAAAGGGGGGCGGTAAATCAAGTGGGTTGCTGTGACAAGGATCCTTAAAAATAGGACATACATTGTGGCTCGAATCGAATTGCGATTTCCAAATAAATACACATATATCGAACACATATTAAATATCCCTTTAAATGGGACGGGACACACAAATTAGTAATCAATGGAAATGACATGATAAAACAAAGAGTGAGAACCGAATGACATGGTAATAAGTAAAGACGATCTTAAAATTGGACATGGACGTACATAAATTATACGAATTAAAAGGTACCCTACCCTAGGCTAGGTGGCACTACCAACTATGCCATAACTTATGATCCTACGGCTAAAATACTATTGAAGCGAGCATCTGATCTGTTTGCGCTGATATTTCCATTGTGAGCTGGTTTATCTGCGCTTGCGACCCTTCTTGTAGCCCTTGCCATACCAACCCGCCTGAGTGCGTGCCAGCTTGCGGGGGAAACTCGTCGTCAGCTGCTGGCGACGCTTGGCCGTCTCCGCTGCCGCAATGTGCGCAAGGGAGATGTTCTCGTCGTACTCGTCCTCATCGTCGCTGGTCGGACAGCATTCGCAGACGACAAAGCGGCCGCTGCGAGCGCGCTTCTTGTGCTTGCGTTGGTTGAGGTTCCACTGGCGATAGAACTGGCAGTCCAGCTCGGCATACCGATCGAAGCAGAAGCCGCAGCTGGCGGCCGAGCGATTCATGGCGAAGTTCGGCACCACCTGCGAGTTCCAGATGTTGAGATCCTCTGGCGGAGGTATGAGGATGCTGTGCAAACCGGAGTACGCGTACTTGGCGTCGTACCAGCTGGGCAGTTGGCGGAGTAGCTCCTCGTCGTTATGCTGCCGCAGCATGTCCATCTGCGACAGCTCGTTCTCCTCGTCTTCTTCGGTGGTGGAGTCCGCCGAGCAGGTGGCTCCATCGCTTTGGATCTGTATATTGAGGGCCTGGAACACGGGTGGCAGTATGTGCTTCGGTTCGATGAAGGGTGTGGACAGAGGCGCCCCGATGGGCACCAGCGGCGGCAGCTGAACGGGCTCCAGAAACAGTTCCACAGGCAGTTGGCAGAGACTCGGCAGACTTGGTCTGGGACTTGCGTCCAATTGGGTCTTCTGAATAGCGACTAGTTTTGGCAGTTCCATGCTCTCCACTTTCAGGGGGATCCCCGTCTTGATCCCCGTTTCCATATCGAATTCCACCTCCTCCTTGAGCGAGAGCGGTTCCAGTTTCGGCAGCAGCTCCAGCAGCTGCATCTCCTGCTTCACGGTGGTAAGGAGGAGGGCGTCATCGTGGTTGGGGCTGATGTCCAGTGCTTCCTCCAGCTTCAGTTCAGTCTCCACTTTGATTGTTGTCTCCTCCGCCACCAGCAGCAGGGCAGAGCCCGGCCCAGAGCCATTGCCCAGCTTGAGTTCTCCATTGGAGGTTGGTTCTATCTTGACCTCTGCATCATTCCCGTTTATTAGGCTGGAGCATACGCTCCTCGCATACTTTTGACGCAGGTCGAGGTTCGTCTTGATGCGTCTTCCGTTCTTAATGGGAGTTCGGATGCGCGGCCCCTTGCCTATGGGCAGATCGCTGAAGCTGCAGCTTTCCGTGGAGATTGTCGAATCCTGCGTCTCCTCGGTGGTGGTGGTGAAGGCCTCGTCTTCGTCGGCATTCTTCAACAGCGGCTGCGTGAGGGTGTGCAACTCCTCGGGCATCAGAAGCGTGGCGTGGGCAAAAATGGGATCCTTCTCCTTGGTGTACACCGGCACCGCGATGTTCAGCAGTTGCATCAGCTGGGCCATTACGCGGTCGCATTTGCCGTTGATCTTGATGCTGGCTATGTTGTCCTTGGGCGTCCACTGAAGATTCACCACGCAGATCTTGGCCCGCTGGCGCGCCGGCTTGTCCATCTGCCACAGCCAGGTGTACTTCTTGAGCACCTTCAGACTGGAGCCCAGGCAGAGGATCACGTCCGCCCGCTCCGAGTGCTGCGTGGCCCCCGTCCAGTTGAGCGGCCATTTGAGGTTTCCGCGCTCCCCAAAATGAACTATGGTGTCGTACAAGGGCTCCGAGCAGCGGTGGCACAGCCGGTGCGTCTTGTGGCAGTAGCGTGCCGTCATCTCCGTGGTGTCGAACTGGCGCCAGTAGACGGAATTCGGCTTGCAATGCTTGCACACCTCCACGTACATGTTGCCGTGGATCTCGGAGAGTGAGTGGCGCGGCAGACCCGATCGCAGATGCAGACCGTCGCAGTTCTGCGAGACAACATGGTGGAGCAGACGGCGACGGTGCAGCTCGTAGAGGGCCATGTGGGTGTAGGTGGGATTCGCACTGGACAGATCATGCTCTCCGATGTCCTTGCCCTTTTGCAGCAGCGTCCAGATTCCCTTGCTGCCACGGTAGTCGGGAATGAGGGCGGCCGTGCTGATGCCAGCGCCCGTGTAACAGATGAGATGCTTCGCCTGGGAGATGATGTTGGCCAGCTGCTCCACCTTGGCCTCGATAACGTGCGGGGCATCCTCCTTTTCGACCACCCGCTCCTTGTAGATCTCGACGCGTTCCTTTCGCTTCTTTGTGGCCTTTACCATGTCCGGATGCTTCTCCAGAAACTGGCGGTCATCGACTGAGCGCAGGGAGTCGCATTTTCGTAATATTTGCGAAACCTGATGGAAAGGAATAATCATTGATTAACATCGAGGAAACACAGATACACACGCTCAGATACAATTGCAATCACTTGCATGTGTGTGTGGGGGTGCGCAACTAATTACCTTTCGCATAGCATCCTTTCGACGCCGCTTCTCGTTGTCCTTCTTAGCAGGATTCACTTTCGCCCGCGTTATATAAGATTGCGCCACATCCGCACTGTGCTCCGGCAGCCCCACGTCCTCGTCCATGACTAGCCACCGTCCTCCGGGCTTTAGTTTCTGGAAATCCAAACTAAAAATGCTCCCCAGCGAGCGCACAGGGGTTGGGGGGAAATTTGGCAACAAAATGTGTGCCGCTGCGAGTAGTGTGAAAAGTTTTGGCAGCGCGCACACTTACATTTTATTTGCCCTGCACCCCTCCATTTCTCAGGACGTTAACAATTACTTGTTTTATGGTTTATTGCATATATATTTATAAATGTTTTTTGTTAGAAAAAAGGTAAACAACTATCGATGTTACAGTGCGCGGCAATCGAGCATTTTATGGTCATCGATGTTTCAGGGATGCATAAACCAATTCAGTGACTTGTCGATTGTTTGCACTGCAAGCAGTGACAGAAGAAGGAACCGTTTCTACAGCATAAAATATCAGCATCAGTGACCGTTACCACTAACCATACTGTATATACAGATGTGCATGTGCCAGTTCATACAACGAAAGTGACGCAGCTGAGGTTTCAGCGTACGGTCCCAGGTCTTCGGCTCTGGGACCGGCCGTGTTTGGCTCTGGGACCGACCGGGTTCTGCATTCTAGCTTTTACATTTTTCCCTTTATTTTAAATTTTTGGCAGCGATCAATTATTATTTTTCGTTTCATATCAGTCAGCTTTTGTCAGAGAGCAATTCAACATTTATCGTTTCATATCAGTCAGGTTTTGTCAGCGAGCATTTACAACTTTATTTTAATATCAGTAAGCTTTTGTCAGCGAGCAATTATAGTTTTTTGATTTCATATTAGTCAGCTTTTGTCAGCGAGCAATTAGAATTTTTCGTTTCATATCAGTCAGCTATTGTCAATGACAAAAAAATAATTTTTGGGTTTTTTTTAAATTTGTATTACATTTTTTCTACATTTTTTCGTTTTTCCTAAATTTTTACATTTTTTTTAAATTATTCCTACATTTTTACAAATTTCCTAAATTAAAAAAAAATTTTTTTGTGCAAATGCCGTCAGCAAGGTGCGATCAGATTATAGCCAGAAACCCCCCATCACCCTGCCTTAGGATCTCCACAAACTTTTAAAACTTTTTTAATCAAACTAATCTAATCAGAGGTAGATTTCCACACTATGCAGCATCATTCTCAAAACTTGGCCATCGTTTGTGTTATCCAATCCAGATAGCGAAAGACGCTCGTGTAGATGCCGGGAAGTCCTGGCGTGCCACAGGACAGACCTGCCGAAGTAATGCCCATCACATGATACATGCAGGGATAATTCTGATGGTACATTAATAACGGACCACCAGAGTCCCCGTTGCAGGTATCCTGAGCCCTATCAGAGCCAACGCACACTTGAGTAGCGGCATCGAATCCGTGGGGATATTCCTCAAGTTGTCGTGAGAGAATCTTCTTGCAAATCTGGAAAAAAACATGGCATCGGATCGGTATCTTCAATACAATGATGGATAACCCATACCGAATCCTCGTAGCGATCCAGTTTCACTTTGAGTAGCTTCGCGGAGGGTTTCACAGCAAACCCCGTGCTTCCCCAGCCCACAGCTATGAAGGAAATGAAATAACGCTCATCGACAAAGGGCAAGCAGGCGGGATGCTTGTAGAGATCGAATACGACATCCTCTGACAGCTTGACCAGTCCGATGTCATGGTAGAGCTGTGGATCCTCATAGTTCGGATGTGTTTTGTAGTCCGCCACGTTGTAGTCCCGTGGGGCAGCATCATCTTCAAACGTGTCAAAGTCCAGCTCGCCGAGACGAACCACATTTACCTCGCCTCTGCAGCAGCAGTAGAAAAGATAATTTATTTCTTCATTCAGTTTATTAGCTCAGTGTCACTTACTGTTCCGATTCCAGGCAGTGGGCAGCGGTTAGAACGAAGCGTTCACTTATCAGTGTGCCGCCGCAGAACCAATCAATATTCTGGTCCCAGCTCTAGGCGACGTCCGAGCCGTGCCATAGGTGGAAACTCCTTGGGATTGGCCGGATCCCCACCCACAATCAACGGCGTATAGCTGCGGCAATTGTCCACAGTTTGTCGCTGAATAGGTGCTCCGGGCAAGAGAAAACTGTAGGCTATCGTCTCTTCGAACACGCTCTGTTTGAGACTGGTGCAAGCTGTAAAGGGAGTGTAGTCGCCTCCATGGATGAGGTGAGACCATCAGGAGATCGGGTCACACTTACAGCGCACAATATCCGAATGTAAATGTGAATTTTGGCCAAAACCGCATGGCAGTTCGCTAAGCAGCAGCGACACCAGCAAGAGAATCATCTTCGCCACAGATTTGATTGCGATTACTTTGCTCAGCCGCTAATCAAAGCGAGGCAGGCGGGTCGCCTACCGCGCAGAACGGGTTTCGAATCAGTTATTCATCGCCGAGCAAACAGATTGATCAAGCAGGCCCCAGGCCATCGCATTGCTAAATTGGTAAGACAAACAGAATTTCCCTTGTTCCCGAATTCCAAGAAAACAATTCAACTTCCATAGTTCCGATTTGCTTAGCTTGTTCCCCGTACAGATGTGGTCTATAATTAGCATGGAATGGAACGTGGCTGTTACGATCTCTTGGCCATCTCCGCTTTAATCCAGTCCAAGTATTGATGTACACGCGTGTAGAGGCCTGGAAAGTCCGGAGTGTCGCAGAAATTTCCAGTGGAGGTGATGCCCATCACATGGTACATGCACGGAAAGTCCCTGTGATATGTCAGCACCGGGCCACCAGAGTCCCCGTTGCATGTATCCTTGTGTTCCTTGGAGCCGATGCAGAGCTGGGTTCTGGCGTTGTAGCCGTTGGGCAGCTCCTCGTTTGGCTCGGACGTGGTGCTGCATCGGGTGCCATAGTTATTCAGACGCACCTTCCTGAGCTTCTTGGAACTTTCGCTGACAACCTTTACCTGACCCCAGCCGATGGCAATAAAGGTCTGATCGCTGGCGCCATCGTGAAAGGGCAGACACGCCGGATGCTTGTACTCGTTGAAGGTGACGGGTCGGCTCAGTCGCAGCAGGGCAATATCATTGTAAATGATTGGATGAGCATAGCCAGGATGCACCGTGGAATTGGCCACGCAAAAGTCCTCCGGATCGGCATCGTCCTTGTCGTTGTCAAATTCCAGTTCTCCCAGCCGAACGACATTCACCGCCCCACTGCAACAGAGAATCGTTTAGAGATAACCAGCCCCCCTGCACTGCCTGATAGATACTGACTTCTCGCTGTATAGGCAGTGGGCCGCCGTGAGAACATGTTGATTGCTGATCAAGGTGCCGCCACAGAACCAATTTATTTCGTTATCTTCATCGCGATTACCCAAGCGTGCGGCATGGGGAAACTCCTTGGGAAGTGCGGGTCCTCCGCCGATAATCAGGGGCGTGTAGCTGGTGCACGTGTCTCTGGTCTTGTAGATGACCGGTGCATTCGCATAGAGCAGACTGAATTCCGACGTCTGCTCGAACACGCTCTTTTTGTAGGCAGCGCATGCTGTAGGGTAGAGCAGTCGCCATTGTTTCAGAATCGATTATAATCGCTGAGTACTCACATCTGACTAGATCCTGATCCAGGGCTGCACTCCAGTCGGCTGCCAGCACTAGCAAGGCAGCTCCCAGCTGGAAAATCTTTATTGTGAACGCAGTTTGCATTTCCCTGTCACTCGTTTCGTGTTCGTACACTCGCAACGCTCTGGCAGCTACTGAATGTATCTCAATCAATCGACGGACTCCAGCTGTGATCTCTGCGAGGTTATCGTCCAGCGAGAGATTGCCTGATGATAGGGGGAGGGAAAACCCGGGACTATATTGATTATAAATCAAATATACGCAATTATTATTATGCAACCGATCTTTAGAGGTACATCTTGGTCATCTTTAAGCCGGTTTGCATATAGGAAAATCAAAAGCTAAACTCTTGACAATCCAAACGACAGAACACATCTCTCGTTGATTGTAAAAATAGCTAATGAGTAATGGACTCTGAATATCAGTTTCAAACCGGTTCGCCGTTCTTCCTGGTTCTCAAACAAACATAAAACACACAACACACAAAAAGAGATAGAAATTGATAACATGATAATGTATTTGTTGCCCATACGGACTTTGCTTCCACTACATACTATAAACGGAATAAATCTCCTTCACTTTAAGCGGTCCTCGCCAGCTGCTGCTTGATCCAATCCATATAGTAATGGACCCTAGTGTAGAGGCTTGGAAAGTCGGGAGTATCGCAGAAATTGCCAGTGGAGGTGATGCCCATTACGTGGTACATGCAAGGATAGTCCTTGTGGTAGGAGAGCACCGGGCCACCAGAGTCGCCATTGCAAGTATCCTTGCTTTCGGGAGAGCCAATACAGAGTTGGGTGCTGGCGTTGTAGCCGTTGGGCAGCTGCTCGTTGGGCTCCACGCTAGTGAGGCAACGCTGTCCGTAGCCCCGCAGCTGGACTTTCAAGAGCTTATTGGACTGATTCTGGGCAAATTTTCGAGCACCCCAGCCAATGGCAATGAACGTCTCGTGGCGTTCGCCATCGTCGAAGGGCAGACAGGCGGGATGCATGTACAGACTGAAGTTGACCGCTCGACTCAGCCGAACGATGCCAATGTCATTATAGAGGGCTGGGTTATTGTAATCCGGATGCATCGTGGAGCTTAGCACTTCAAAGTCCTCCGGCTCGGCATCGTCCTTGTCGTTATCAAACTCCAGTTCTCCCAATCGGACCACATTCACCGCCCCACTGCATCAAAAGAGAACATTTAATATTTAGATCGAGAGCTGAGATCCTCCTGATACCCACTACTCGGTGTAGAAGCAATGGGCTGCTGTGAGCACTAGCCGATTGCTTATCAAGGTGCCGCCACAGAACCAATTCGTTTTGTTATCAGCATTGCGATTGCCGAGCCGCGCCGCATGTGGGAATTCCTTGGCTTCGGCCGGAGATCCGCCCACTATCAGAGGTCGCGAGCCATGGCAGGAGTCGACGGTCTCGTAGGTGATGGGTGCATTGGCAAAGAAGAAACTGATGGGCACACGCTCCTCGAACACTGTTCGCTTAAAAAGTGTGCAAGCTAAAAGAAGCAAATGCTAGCGATCATTAAAAATATATCGGTGGGATCATACCTTGCTGAGCGGCTCGATCCGGAGTCTGGCTGAGCACAAGGGTGCCAATTCCGCTCAGAGAAAGCATCAACAGCACCGAAGCAAGCAAGCGCATCGACATAGTTATGAATCGTCGATGAACTGCATTAAAAGACGACCGGTTGACGACTGATCGCTCACGAACTGCGCAGCAGAGAACACCGCTCCGCTCAGAACGAATCTCTTACATTAATCAGAGAATCAGCGGACAATCAGCTGCTTCCATAGATACCTGTTTTCTGTACGAAATAAGCCTTACATTTATCTGACACACAGTTCTTTGGCTTAACATTTATATTGCTTCTGCTAATATAAAAAGTTTAACAGTCTTAATATCTAAAGAGGAAAGCTAACTAATTGAAGTGTATTCCTTCCGAGTTAAAGGTCAGCAGGAGACGCATGAAATCATCTATGTCCATAGATCTCGCACGGGATGTGGCCATGTCCAGTTCCTCTAGAATTCGGATGACCTTTTCCTGCATATTAAAACCCTCTTCGAGGGGCTGCAAGATACAAATGATATGGAATGCAGCTATTTATTTAGGTTTGAATGCTTGCCACCCACCTCGTTCCTCAGCGAGCGATACAATTTGTAGTTCTTCTCGAGCATTTCCATCACGGAGCTCACTTTGAAGGTGGCAGCGAGAGTCTTGTTTTTGCGCAAAAAGGCAATGCGGGTGAGGCCATCCCATTCGGTAAAGTTCACCGGGGGTGGGGGATTTTTCGGCTCCAGGCGCACCACACTCGACTCTACCTTTGGCGGCGGCCTGAAGTTATTCTTGCCCACCTTCATGAGCATGTCGACGCGGGCAAGCAGTTGTGTGTTGATGCTCAGACGGCAGTAGAGCTTGTCGCCCGGCTTGGCCACTAGACGCTGGGCGAACTCACGTTGAAACATGAGCACGGCACAGCGGAAGAGGGGCCGGTGCAATAGGAGCTTGAATATCAGCGGCGAACTGATTTGGTACGGCACATTGGCAATGCACAGGTCGAAGAAGGGCAGCTCCGCCTTCAGGAAATCACCGATTAGCACCTGCAGCTTGGGTTGCATCGGTGTGGACTGCACACGCTTTTGCAACTCGGCGGCCAGGCGGGTGTCGATTTCACAGGCAATCACCTTCTTCGCCTTCTCCAGCATGCGGACAGTCATGTTTCCCGTACCGGGACCGATTTCCAGCACCACATCTGTGGGTCGCAGAGCAGCCTTCTCCAGCATGGTGGTTATCACCAAGGGGTTCTTTAAAATATGCTGCCCGAAATCCTTGTTGAATACAATTCCTGTCATGAAACACGGTTAGAAGTGGAATTGGTTGGTTTTTCCAAGGATTGAACATACCCTGCTTTTGCACTTCATTGTGCACGCGGCTCTTCTTCTCTGTCTTTACTTTTGGCATTGTTCAAACTTGTGTTTTTGCCTGTAAATTGATTAAATTGTCGAAAAAATAGTACAAATCGTGCTTTGTTTTGAACATGTGCAATTTAGGGATGCTATCAGCTTTATCGATAGACAAAATATACCACAGAAATATACCGGAACATACCGTAAATATACCGAGAAGTATATCCCGCTGCGATTTGTGAAATTCAAAACGATTTGGCGGGACGTTTACATTTTTCATAGGTGTTACCTCTTTATTTATTAATTAGTTTTCACTTAAAATTATAAATCAATTTTTGATGTTTTAATTTTGGTATCTTTGGTTATCTTCGCACATCGGTACATTTTTTTTTTTTTTTACCATTTATTTAAGATCTGCTTTAACATTTCACATTTCTTCCTTTCTTGGCTTCATTTTTTGTTTGTTTTAATATATAATTTTTTTGTGTTTTTACAACATATCAACTGTTGACTCTTGACTTTACCTTTACAGTTATTTATCTCTTTTGTTTAAACATAACTTAACTTTATTTATGCTTTCTCCCAATTATAGTTTGGTTACTTCTTCGGCATTTTGTTTGTTTGTTTGTTTTGTTTTAGTGTGTGTTCTGAATACTTTCTGTTAATTAATATTACTTTTGCAATGACTCTTCCTCTTACTACGCCTCCTGCATCATCTCTTTCAGTTTGTTGCGCTTTGCTTTGTACGCCATTCAATAAATAATTCAATATATTTTGTTCTTAGTAGTTTCTGTAGTTAACAACTTTTAGACAATGATTAGGGGGCTGGGCAGCCGTTAATAATCCTTCGAGTGTATGTTTGTATGTGTGTTTTTTGTTTAAGTATCTAAGATGCGAAAGGTACATGAAAAAGTTGCACATATGTATGTATCGGTTGTGTGTGTTTGTTCTTGTCCAGAGAAACGTTAGCTAAGCTGGATCTGATTTGTGAGAGCTCGTACATACAATACAGAGTTATATGTAGTACTGGCTGGATCGCTCTCCGGGAGCCCTTCTTCTTTGGCAAGCAATGACTTTTGACCTATTATAGCGTTTGTGTTTCTGTGTGTCTAGCAGATTGAGAGTGGGGGAAGGGAGCATTTGCATTGATTTGCTTTGCATATTTGAAGAGTGAGCTTATAGCTAACATTTGGTTTCACATTTCCCTATAATATTTTACTTGTTTCAGGTTCCGCGATTTGTGCTTTTCTTTTCATTTTTCCCATTTCCCATTTCCCTTGCCTGTTTCTGTTTCTGTTCCCACTTCCCTTCCATTCTTTCTAGCCTTACTTCTTTGTATCTTGTGTGTGCTTCTTCTCGAGAAAAACCAACAATATTTTCTATTCTGTTTGCTTATTCCCTGACCTGATCTGACCTCTACTGACCAATGGACTCTATACTCATATAAATAAATCATGTTGGCTGGATGCGTATATCTGTGAGAGTTTTGCTCTATTTGTTGTATATTTTGTATCATTTTCTTTCTTTTTGTTTTGTTTTTTAATTGAATAGGGCTACTATTTTTTCTATACTTTTCAATCTTCTCAATGGCCGAGATCGTCTAGCGATTGAGCTCATTGTTTTATAAAATTATTCTTTTATCTTTTGTAACATTTTTTTTTGTCCCATGTCTTCTCCTTATTCTTTTCTTAATTTTTTTTTTGAGTGTTTTTCTTTTTGTTTTTTTTTTGTATTTTTTTGTTTGTTTGGTAAAATGCGTTTTTGAGAATACTTTAGGTTAACATTTAAATTGTAAATGGGTAACTAGCGCTTACGCAGGGCTTGCTATTTCACAAATACATATTATTATTATTATTATTAGACACTGGGCGTTCATTATTACATACAAATCTTGTGTGTTTTATGCCTATGCCCCTGACTCTGCATTTTTGGTTTTACTTTTGTATTTTTTGTTTAGTTAACAACGCTGCTTATAGTTAATAAATCTCCTGTCCTTGAAGGGTTCTTGGCTAGCCATTCCTTCCATTATAATTTTAAGTATATATTTTGTAGTGATTTCTTTTAGCAGAATTCCTTTTGCTCTGTGAATAGATTGACAAACATAAAACGGAAACAAATCGAATTTGCCGCATCGCATGAAATGTGTCGTATATTAAATAATAGGAATAACAACATTTAATTAAAAAAATTAACAAATTTCGATGCGTTCTCCCAAAAATTTGTTTCGAATAGAATTTAGCTTTGAGTCTTTGGCTTTAAAATCAACATATAATAATCGTTAATATTGTATCTCTCGTCTCGTCTCGTTTGTTCTCCTCCTCCTTCCATATAATTTCATTGTTATTTAACTTTTGTTCGGCTTTCTTTCATTACGCTAAGTGTTTTGTTTGTTTATAGGTATAAATATGCCTTTAGTTTCACAATTTTATTTACTTTATGTATGGATATTATATATATATATATATAATTTGTTTTTTTTTTTGTTCTCCCCTCTTTCTTCTGCTTACAGACTAAACACGTTTCTTGGTTGTATTCATAATTTGTTTTGTTTAGTTTTTTTTTTTTAGTTTTTAGCATACATAAATTGATGTGAATTTTATAGACATTTGTTTGTTTTATTTTAGCTTTATTTTCTATGATTAGTTAGCTTTACTTTCTCTTTGTTTTGTTGGTAAATTGTATGCGTTTGTTTTTAGGATGTTTTGGCTTGATTTTTGCGTTTTTGTTTAATGTTTTAGTTTTGTTTTTTTTTTTTTTATAAATATTTGTATGTATAACAATAAGGTTAAATTTTAAAATAATATCGCTTTAATACTTGAGAAGGAAGTTGTGCAAGATTTCAAATACATACAAAAAAACAAATTGAAATAAATGTATGTATGTATGTATTTATGTATATGCTTTGGGGTGGGGGTATTTGTTTTATAGACGGCACGTTGCGGAGCGGCACATATGTGTGATGTACATATGTGTATTGGGTGTGTGTTTTTTTTTTCTTAGAGGTTCCCTTGAGATTCGCTTGGAGCAAGAGCTAAGCTTGGACGCTGTCTGGGCCGTCTTTATGCCTGCCTTTAAGTGCGAAACTTGAGATTCGGCACGTTAAACAATCAAACAAACAATTAATCAATAAATAACTAATAACAAAATGCACTTTGAGCCACAATTGCAGCCCACAGGGGCATTGACTAGATGGGTTCGGGTGCGTGGCGGGGCGGGTGGCGAGGCGGTGGATTGGCATGGCAAACAACATAACTTCAATAAAATACAATACAATACAATAGAATACAATAAATAAATACAATTCAAACTTTCTAAGCGGCGGAGGCAGGCTCCAAGAGTAGCTGTAGCTTGAAGCTTAAAGCGGAAGCGAAAGTGGAAGTGGAATCTGGATAAACTTAACAATTTCTTGGTTCTTTCTGCCTGGTGCGCATCATTCAAGTAGTCGAAGCTAAGCAGCAGCTTTGGCACTGGTTCTTGCTTGTCGAGATGGCTATGGCTATGGCTCTGGCTGACTGGTGACGGGTGACTGGCTGACTGGTGAAGGGTGACTGGTGACAATGTGTGTGATAAATCAACAGTATTTTACTTGCAATGTTTCACTTCTCTGATTCGAACCTAGGATTTAGAACGAAATAATGACAACGAATACAACTGGAAAACAGACAACAATGAAGCGTTTTCATCGCGAAACAATACAAATAGTTTTGCATGTGCTAGGGATATACGCTAGAGGAATACGCTAGACGCTAGATGCTAATGGTAGATGATAGATGGCTGATTCTAGATGACGGCACAGTTCGATCTGTATGTCCACCCAATTTAAAACTAACTCACTGACTGACTGACTGACTGATCTATACGGACCGGCCCCCTGGGATGGGTGGAGCTCAACTTGTGTCGGGTTATTGTTATTTCGGCGGATCAGATCGGATCCGGTGCCTCCAAAACTGAAAGGGAAAATGAACAACAATCGTTGGGCCCTAGTAGACTTTGCGCTCTGGTCCAAACTTGGGATTGACAAAGGAGAAGCCAGCGAACTCGTCCTGGTTGATGCAGCGTATGACCTCGTTCCCGATGGGTGTCAGCACCGGATCCTCCTTGGTGAACTCCGCATCGAAATTGTTGGCGTCGCGAGGATTTTTCTACAGTTACAAAAATGTTAAGTCAAACTGTAAGGGGGAAAATGATTTCTCATAGCTTACCATTTTTGGTCGGAATGGTGGCTTTATGTTGCGCTTCTCCAGCTCCTTCCAGTCAAGCTTATTGAAAAATGGATGCTTGCGTATCTCGTTCTCATCGCCAGTGCAGCCCAGCCGCTGCTCCGGATTCTTGGTGAGAAAACCTGCACAGAATGAGTCATTGGATTAGCACGAGCTGACGAGAAGCTGATTGCAAATCATACCCTTTAATATGGAAACGGCTTCGCGGGACAGCCAAACGGGATAGAGGACATCGTCGTGCATGATCGAGTCGAAGAGCTCGTCCTCATTGTCGGCCTCGAACGGCGGCTGGCCGGCCATCATCTCGTACATGAGCACGCCCAGCGCCCACCAGTCGACGGAGGCGCCATACTCCTGCTCCTTGAGTATCTCCGGGGCAATGTAGTCGGGTGTGCCACAGAACGTTGTGGTCAGCATGCCATTCATGATGCCCTCCTTGCACATGCCAAAGTCGGCCAGCTTGCAGTGCCCCTCCTGATCGAGCAGAATGTTGTCCAGCTTCAGATCGCGATAGATGACACCGTGGGTGTGAAGGAATTGTAGCGCCAATGTCACCTCCGCCGCATAGAAGGCGGCACGGGTCGCCTCGAATCGACGCGCCTTCTGTATTTGGAACATCAAGTCGCCGCCATTTACGTACTCCATCACGAAGAACAGGCGGTCCGGAGTCTGAAAACAGGAATGTAACGCAGTCAGGAAGGGATGGTTGGCGGCCAACGCCAGGATGCGCTTCTCCGTCATGGTGCAGTCCACATCGTCGTCCTGGATGATGGCATCCTTCTTCAGCACCTTGATGGCATAGATCTCGTCGGTGCCCTTCTTCTCGGCGAGCATCACCTTGCCGAACGAGCCCTTGCCCAGCACCTTGATGAAGTTAAAGTCCAGCAGCGAACACTTGCCGGGGCGTGTGTCCCCGGTGGCTCCGCCCACGGCCAGGCTCATACAGCTGCTGCTGTTATATCCGCTGGTCAGCGTGCTGGTGGAGGTGGCCAGGCTGTCCGCCGACATTGTGCCACTGCGGAACGAAGCACCGGGCACATTGTCCCCGTCGCCGCCCAGCGAGGCGCCGTAGTTATCCTCGCCACCCTGCTGGTTCAAGTACTTGGAGCGGCGCGGCTGCTGGCCCTGCTTGTCCGGCGAGATGCCCAGCGAGCTGAGGATCTCGGCCATCTGCTTGGTGTTTATGCCGCACGTGTTGGCCACGTTCTTCTGGCAGCGCTTGTGCACATTCATGCAGCAGGTCTCGCACTGCAGGCCCTGCTTGATGAGTCCGTAGAGCAGCGAGCCGCAGTGGTCGCAGAAGGTGAACCGCTTGTAGCTGTGCACCACAAACCGGTGGGGCACATTGACGTTGAATCTCTGGCCGGCAGGCACCACCTCCACTTTGGTCTGCTGCTAGAGACAAGAGTGATTGGGGAGGGTTACCTTTGATCTGAGTGCACATGGGAGAGTATCGGGTTGCTTACCTCGTCTCGCATGCCCGGACACTTGGACACCACGGACAGATGACATTTTTTATGTACAACTAAGGTGCAGACTAGAAATGATGAGGAGAGAGAGAGAGAGAGAGAGAGACCAAAAACAACGATATATCATTAATATCTCCACTCGGAATTGGGCAACTGAATGCTGGATGGGAATGGATCCTTCATCATCTGGCATAGCAGAGCAGAGCATTGCAGAGTGCATAGCAGATTGCATTTTGCAGCTTATGGAGAAACTCTAGACATACGAATAAATGTTTTTGTTGTATATATTTACAGGATATCATATCGTTTACTCAACAAGCTCATTGAAACATTCAGGGTTAGACACAAAAAATCTCCCATTGGTGGCATTAAATGCGATTTGAATCTGCATCAAATATCACCATTAAGAGTGCATATATTAAAGGTATATGTATATTAATTAGTCGAAATCTTTGAGTAATTGTGTGATTTCTTTGGTGCAAAATTGGATTATTCACATGTTGTGTGTGTTCAGGTCAGGTGAAGTTTAGTTGAGTTTTGAAATTATTGAGTGCTCTGTGGCTGTGCCTTGTGACTGTGCGTCAATTAGTGTTCGTTCAGGTGTACACAAAAGTTTTTTTTAATCACAACATTTAGATGCTTCGGGCAGATATCGAAAACAAAATTAAAACTTTTATAAGACTTATTTTTTTTTTGGACATCAATAAATAATAAGTGTAACACAAGAGAGAATAGGACCTTCTTCGGCTTGCCCGAAGCTTTGAAATATTCTTTGATAAATTCCTAACTAAATTGATCTAAATTCAAAAAGTTGACCCTACTGAAATTTGGTTTCATGTTGGATCGTTTTTCTACTTATTTAATGCATGCAATCAGAAAGAAAAAGTATAGAAAATTCATTGATCTTAAAACCTGAGATAAGATTGGGGGGAGGATAAAATAGATACACAGACGAACATGGAACTTCCCTTCTTATTCTTATAGCAAACTGAATATATCCCGGGATAACAACAAATATGTAGGGTATGCAAGGATCCCTAAGGCTTGAAGATTGGGTTACAATTACAACGGACTTTTCCCTGACAGACACACAAATTAGTATAGCACGACGTTCAGTAGTTCATTCTCTCTTTGCTAAATGAAAGAAGGACAATGCAATGTGATGGCAAAGCAATCGATTAGTAGTGGTGCAGAGCGGACAGGACCAGTGCCAGGATACCAGACAGAGACAGTCCAAAGAGAGAGAGATAGAGAGTGGACGAGAAGGTGCATTGATGCCAGAGTCCAGACTGGACAATGCTGAACACGTGCAGCCACATCTACATCCATCCAGCCACATCCACATCCAATCAATAAAAGTATTTATCCCTTTTGTTTCATAAGGTAAAATAAAACAATATATGCAAGTACATAAGTAAAAATGCAGCTAGACGAACAATATCCAGATGCTATTGTTCCTTCAATCGAATAGCAACAGCATCAACAACGACAACGACAACAACGACAACAACATGGACAAACGACAACAGCAAACAACGAATAAAATGAGTAACGAACAACGAATTACGAACGTAACAAGCAAATGCAAAGTGATATGGATAATGGGGGGGGTGGTGGAGCGGAGCTTATTTTGAAGGCTCTCCACTCCTAGAGCTGCAAAGCACCAGGGCACCCAGGGACCCAGCAGGATCCAGGAGGACCCGTTGGCTCTGGTTCCGTTTAGTTTGAAGCAAAACACATACCTTGACATTGATAGCCTTGTTTACCAATTCCCCTGCAAAAAGGCAAGAAATTCCATGGCTATTGTATGTATATATATATTTTTTTTTTTTTGGTAACTGAATGAAGATTGTGTGTGTTTGTGTGTGTGTGATGTGATGTGGTATGGTTTGGTGTGTGTGTATGAATGAGATGGAAGAACCGCCAGTGGAAACCCAAAAGAAAATCAAGCATGAGCTGTTGTTCGTGAGTTTTGTTCCTGACCCCAAAAGCAGCTTTTAAAATGAGACCCAATAATCCACTTGAATAGAAACCAGGATTAATGCCAAATGGAAACAATAAATAGCTAATAGGAAATCGAATAAAAAAATACTCTGCATTACAGACCCAAAGACCCGAGTGATGAGAGGGGATGATACATTAAGAACATAGAAATAAGATCAACTCAAATCGATTCAAATCAAATCATAAATAGTTTCGGAGAGATGGTGAGAGAAAGAGAGCGAGAGAGTTGGGGGGTAAGGGAGGATAAGGTGTGATAAGGATAAATCAAATAAGTCCCGAAACTATATGCATGTTTATGTAGATATTAATCACTGCAAATACAACTTAGGAATAAATGGTACGGTAGATGTTTAGCCCTGTACGGCTGGGTCTGAGTACGGTGAGTACGTTACGGATATTGTACGATTATGTGTGCCGGCCAAGGCCGGAGCGGAGCGCTCCACTTACCAGATAAACTCCCGACAATGCGAACAGAAGGTGGGTTGACGCAAAAATGTTGCCATGAACTTGTGACCATTCACCTGGAATTGCAAGAGCATACGCAAAGGGTCAGAGGATCAGTGGCATTCCAGAGTATGCTGAGGGGTGGGGTGCACTCACCTGGTGCACTCGACGGCGCATGGCTCCACGACGGCGATTGAAGCCAGCGCGCTCTTTGAACTCCTTATTGACGGCCACAGTGCGTTCCACCTCGGCCTCGGCTTTGGCTTGATCTAAAAAAAAAAAAAAAAAAAGGAGGAAGCGTTAGACATACAATACAAGTTGGACTCAAGAATTAACGGAACACCCGAACACCCACCATTGCATTTCTTCAGCTCAATGATTATATGGATCTTTCCCTGTGGCTCCAGGTTGACCTGCAAACAGTGATATATGTTATGGAGATGCATTAAAAAAGATTCTGTGAAGACTCACCCATAGATCTGGAGCGCCTGTCTCGCTCTGCATAAGATCTTCGAACGATATAATGCAATTGGCAACAAAATCATCCGGCGGCAGGGCCGCATCGTGAAAGACGGTCAAACTGATGTTCTTGGCATTGTTAACATCGTGCACGAACTGCTCATTCCACACAGGATCGAACGTCTTTGGGCGTGTGGTGGATCGATCTGTGGGTGCAGAGATTAGTAAAAGATCGCCAATCCCTTAGGGCGTGGGTGGGGGATTCACTCACCAAAGTGACTCTCGTCGACATCTATCGAGACGTAGGGATCAATGAGCTGCTCATCGGCTAGTTTGCCGAATGTTAGGTTGTGGCGCTTCTGGAAATCTGTGGGACGCAGGCCGCTCGCCTCGCACACCTTGATCTGCAGCTTGCCCGTAAACATTGTCATTGCCCCCCGTTTGCCCTTGCTTGACTTGACCCTCCTGAAGTTTGAACTCGTCAACTCCCCTGTTCTGGCTTTCTGGTCTCTGCAGAGGAGGTTTATCTTTATTGCACCGATCCCCGGTAGCAGCTGGCGGACTGCGTCTCGTGAGTCAGCAGCAGCAGCAGCAGAAGCAGTATCGGCGGTGGTTTTGTGTGGTTTGCTTTGGTTCGGAGAACAGCAGGAACCACTCTGTGGTCGTGTGTGGGTGTGTGTCTGTGGGTCTGTGGCTGATCTGAAATTGCAAGATCAGATAAGAATTTATTAATGAAATGACCGAGTGACGTTCAGAACTTTCTCTATGGGGCAATGAATGTTAGTGTAGGTCATTGACACTCATAAATATACTGCTATACACGATATAACCCGATTCACTTCCCAAGGTCGCCCTCACATTGATGGAATCCACTCTTACATACACACAACTATATATACACATGTACATATGTATATGTATTATGTAGATATATGCATTCGTTTGGGGGACATTAGGCAATCGCTCAAACGACAACAGTCCATGAAACAGAAAATCGAAAATAGTTCACTACCATCATCTGTTGTGGTAATATTTCCCATCCCCACTCCCCCACACATAAATCATTATCATTCCAAGAAGTAAGCGGATGCAGTGATGGGTGTTTGCACAACTTTTTCAATCTATCGCAGATTTCGTTTCGATCGTACAATAACGGTGGAGCGTCTCTTTAATTGAGGTAAATCCACAGCAAAAGGAAACGTTTCATAATAAGTATCTACATACTCTCAAAACGCTTTAATTCAAAAGAATGTTTGGAGAGGGGGAAAAAGTTGTTTTTCTCAAGGTGCCTTCAATTTAGCTTTGATTAGGTCTCAAATCTTTAGATGGCAGTTTGTTCCCTTTTTTTATGCAAATTGTTTTTAATGCATGTACGGAATCTGTAGGGGCACACCACACACCACATAGGCGAGGAGAAGCTATTTTTTCAGAGATAAAACAACAATGAAATAATAACAAGCAATCCTAATGCCACCCCCAACCCCTATCGCCGCCCACCCACAACCTACTACACGACAGCAGCAGCAGCAGCATCACACCAACACACAAAAATTCCAGCACCAACAATACACACACACACAAACACACTCAAGATTGGGAGAAACACAGGCGATTCACAGGTCCGGATTCCACATCGGATAGAATTAGAATTAACATTAAATCCGGATTAATATTAGAAAACTCAATTGGAAAATTTTTAATTTTCTAATTGGGAAAAACGAAGGCGAATCTGAGTGTGCGCGTTGGTGTGGGTGAGAGAAAATAGAAGAGAGCGCGTTTACATTACATTACATTACACCTCAATTACCTTACCTTTGCTCTCTCGTTCTGTCGTTCACTCTCACACTCCCTCTCTTTCTCTCTCTATTGTTGGTATATTAGAGAAAAAATGTTGAGCTATGTGTGCGAAAAAATTAAGGATGCCTTGACACTAGAACCCACACACACAGATACACAGACACGGATACAGATGCACGCACACGCACCCTGTTTGCACAGTTGAAATTGGCTGTATCTCAAGGAATTTTCTTTGTTTTTTCTAGCTTTTCGCGAATCACAAAATCACGTATCCAACATTTTCCTATCCTGAAAATAGTTGTGCATTGAGTTGAATATTTCCTCGATTTTCGTGTCGTGTGTGTATTAATTGATAAAAATTCACGAAAGTGTTGGACACGGACAAAGAATAAAAACGAGTGTTGCAAAAACCGTTGAGTGAATCACGCTCATTTTTTCGTGGTCACGACTGCAGCTCGATACTATCAAGATAGTCGCATAACCATCGATAGTAGAGGCTAGCAGAAAAATATCGATACTATCGATATACTATCGTTTCAAAATTTGCTCTCTTTTCAGAGGTGAAGAGAGCATTTTCGTGGTGACTTTTGTGGTGTGAGAAACATGTATCTTCCGGGAACGCGTATGGAATGAAGATTCATTGTTGCGTCATTTGATTTGATACATTTGATTTGTATGGGAAAAAATTCAGCAACATGTGGAAATGAATTAGCAGCATTGTTCTGCAACCTTGGATCGGAATGAGCAACAATCTGCATACCTTGGGAAAATGGATATTATAGAATAGAGATATTGTTGGTAATTTCATGCTCCAATTAATACAGAAACTACTCAGTCTCTTATTAAAAGACATCAACGAAATTTTGTAGCTCATGGGTACCAATAATAGGTATCAGAACCGGGATAAATGTATTTATAAAACACAAAACATATGCATAGATAGGTAAAAAATAACTCAATCTAACGAAAATGCAATATTAATGTTTTAAAGCAGCCTGAAACAACAAATTTAACATCAATTAAAGGAAATAAGGTATACAAAAGTCTATACGCATAGAAGAAACTTGGTTGACCAGCAACAATGACGTTACATTTAGTCAACATTTACATTTTATGCTTTGGCCGTTTTTGTTTGAACCCTATTATCTAAACAATCACATTAAAAATAGTTCTGAAAACTAGCCAATCCTTACCAAAATTCATTGAGGAATTGGGTAACATAATTTTTTTAGGGCTGAGAGGGCCAACTAGCTAGTAATATTTAACGGAATATCAAAATCGAGGAATACGAACGCATCTTGTCGTGTCCGTCAGTATATTTACGCTATATTTTGATATTGACAAAGTATATTTCGGTATAATTCTAAGGGTCAGTCGGGGTTTTTTTGATCGAGACCGTCACACTGGGACGCGAGCAGAGTTTTAATTTAAAATTAAACATTAATTTAGTGGAGCGAAAAAACAAATTGTCTCGCGCCTTCTCGAATGACGCAGAATAAAGGAATGCAAAAACTTTAAGTGAAACTAACTAAATAGCAACAATTGAGCGTATCCAAAATGAGTTCGGGGCAAGTGCGTACTCCCGTCTCGCAGATAATAAACAACAAAGCTGACCAGGATGCCGAGGAGGAGCCAAAGAAAAAGTCACGCGAGGATTGGCGCAAGGCCAAGGAGTTGGAGGAGGCGAGAAAAGCGGGAACAGCCCCAGCCGCCGTCGATGAGGAGGGTCGCGACATCAATCCGCACATTCCGCAGTACATTTCGAACGCGCCCTGGTACTATGGCACCCAGGGGCCCACACTGAAGCATCAGCGGCCACAGCACGAGGATGAGCAGGGCGAGCTGGACAAGCGGGCGCCCAAGGGCCTGGACACGACCAAAATTGTGACCAAATTCCGGAAGGGCGCCTGCGAGAACTGCGGCGCCATGACGCACAAGAAGAAGGATTGCCTGGAGCGGCCGCGCAAGGTGCAGGCGAGGTATGCAGAATCGATTGTGGTGCACGACGAGCATATCGTGAGCGAGGCCTCCATCAACTACGATGAGAAACGCGATCGCTGGAGCTCCTACGATCCGGCCAATCACCGGGAGATCGTCGAAGAGTACGAAAAAGTGGAGGAGGCCAAGCGGCAGCTGAAAGCTGAAAAGCTTAAAAATGGTAAGTCAATCAGTTACTCACTTCCATCGATAGCTTCTAACATTCTGCACTCTGGTCAGACCCCGATGCGGAGATCTCAGACGAGGAGGGCAACGAGGACAAATACGTCGACGAAGTGGACATGCCGGGCACAAAGGTGGACTCCAAGCAGCGGATTACTGTGCGAAATTTGCGTATTCGCGAGGATACAGCGAAATATCTGAGAAATTTGGATCCCAATTCCGCCTACTATGACCCCAAGACTCGCTCTATGCGTGACAATCCGAATCCAGCAACGCCTGCGGAGGAGTAAGTGCTTCAGGTATATCAGTAGATGAATTGGACTCTAATTTATTAAATTATTTGTAGAGCTGAGTTTGCCGGGGAGAACTTTGTGCGCTTCTCTGGCGACACCACAGCCCAAGCCACCGCTCAACTGTTCGCCTGGGAGGCCCATGGCAAGGGAGTGGATGTCCATTTGCTGGCCGAGCCCACGAAGCTGGAGCTACTCCAAAAGGAGTACGAACAGAAGAAGGAACAGTTCAAGTCAAGTGTAAGTCGTGCCATTTTATCATTCTGCTGAAATATCTTCATCACAGGCGCCTCTTTTTGCTTGCAGACAAAAACTCACATTGTGGAGAAATATGGTGGCGAGGAGCATCTGAAGGTGCCGCCCAAGTCGCTGCTTCTGGCCCAGACCGAGGAGTACATTGAGTACTCGCGCAGCGGCAAGGTCATCAAGGGCGTGGAGAAGCCCAAGGCGCGCAGTATCTACGAGGAGGACGTGTACATCAACAATCATACGACAGTGTGGGGCAGCTTTTGGAATGCCGGCCGCTGGGGCTACAAGTGTTGCAAGTCCTTCATCAAGAACTCCTACTGCGTGGGAATGCAGGAACCGGAAGGCTATTCGGACCATCAGCAGCAGGCGGATAGCTCCGCGTCTGCAGTGCCTCCCGAAACACCCGCCGATATCGAAACCAGAATCCAAGAGGATCCCCCGGGGAAGGTCGTCTCAGAGGCAGACTCTGCGCCTAGCTCGGAATCATCCTCAGAGGAGGAGGAGCCAGATGTTCGTGAGAAGAAAAAGTCGAAGAAGAAGTCCAAGAAGCGAGAAAAGAAAAAGAAGGCGAAGGAGCAGCGCAAGCGCAAGGAGACGAAAGAAAAGGAAGCCAAGGAGAAGGCGGCGGCAACTGAAAAGAATATCCAAGAAGACCTGGACGATCGCAAGAGACCATACAACAGCATGTACGATGTGAAGGCGCCCACCGAGGACGAGATCGAGGAATGGAAAAGGAAGCGACCACGCGCCGAAGATCCAATGGCGCAATTTCTGTGAATTTCAATGTAAAATAAAATAAAAGTATAGCCAGATAATATTAGAATACAATTTAATATTAGACGATCGCATACTGCTCGTAGAGCAGCTCCCTTATCTTGTAATATTCCTCCGACAAGCAGCCCTCCATGGCCACTTTGCCGGCATCGACACGTCGCAGCGCCAAGGTGCCATTGGTGCACCAGAGGACGCCGCCCGAGAACTCCGAGTTGATGTTGTTACGCAGGAGAATCTGCTTAAAGTCCGAGAGCTTTAGCTCGTTGATCAGCACTGAATTGTGGACGGGAATCTCGTCCTCCTCGAGCGTCTCCAGTGTGAGTGTTTTACCCTCCTGCATGGCCGCATCCTGCTCGACCGTCACATCCATGGCAGTGGGGGGAGCATCGATGGCTTTCAGACGCATGCCCAGACGGCCATCGACCCAGGCCACCTCTGCATCCTTGCCCTTCTGGAACTGCAGCTGGGAGACGAGACCCTCGGTCAGACGCACTTGGTAGATGTGAATCTCTGTGGTCACATCGATGATCTCGCCCTTTTGTGGCGTGAAGACGCGTGCGCCCACATTCTGCTCGCAGTGTTTGGCCACCACCTGTGTGCCCTCTTCCGTGCCATGGACAACGATGACGCGACGCGGTCGCAGTTGCGAAAGAATTTTCAGCATAGACTCGCCGTCGGAGCGGCCTTCAAAGTCAATGCGCTGGATTTGTGCATTCACTTCGATCGTTTTGCGTTGGTTGATCAGTTTTGTGGGCTTCTCCAGCAGCTGGACATCGGTGTCCATGTCACCATTGGCCTGCTGTTCAATGCCTGTGCCAGGCTCCTCCTTCTTTACATTTTCCTTGTTCTGCTCTTCGGGCGGGAATTCGGTGTTGTTCATATCCGCAATGCGATAGTCATCCAGGATGATGATCTCGCCGTACTCATCGTACTTGATCTTCTCCTCGTGGTAGGGGAACATCACATGGTGGCGTTTGTTCGACTTAAAGAAGCCGGAATGATGACGCCCCTCAGGACGAACGACAATATCGTGTTTTCCCGTGATGACGCTCATCTCGATGTCATCTTCCGACTCGGAGCTGCTCTCCTCCTCCGGTTCCGGCTTGGCAATCAGCGGATTAATCTTCTCGCCTTGTGTGCGCAGATACTCTTCCAGTTCGGCTCCTTCCAGCTCCACGCGCCTCCGCACATCCAACTCGATTTGCCTGCCTGGGGCATAGTTCTCCACCAGATCCATGGCCAAGGTGCCGGGGGAGGTGCGGGTTGTCAGAATGATGCTGTTGTTGGCATTGCTGGCCCACTGAATAAAGAGATCTCGCGTAAAACCGCTCTCCAGGTCCGGCGTGCTGGCCAGCACCACCTTCGGGCCGGCTGGCAGCTTGTATACATCCGCCAGAGTGTGGCACAACTGGATGTGCTTGAACTGGAAGGGATTGTTACGGGCTCCCTCAAAGGCTTTAGTCAGCTTGTCGCTCATCCACTCGATCTGTGACTTGGCGAACTCCACCACGTTGTAGCTCACGTTGTTCAGGAGGGCCAGCGAATAGGCCATCAGCCCGGACTCCTTGTTCTTCCACAGCTGGTCCAACATGTGGGCCAGCTCCAGCATCCGACCCGCCGTGTCAGCGGCAATGAGGACATTGCCATTGTTCCTCACGGTTTGCAGGATGTTCGTCATCAGCTTCTCATCGCGAGCACGACGCCGCGCCTGCTGGTATTGTGCATTGTATGCGTCGGTTATGAGCAGCGACGGTCGCTGTAATCGGTCCAACTCGCAGCCACTCAGATGGCGCTCCTTCTTGTGGTTGAAGTCCGTGGCATAGACAATGTCCTCCTCGCCGACCTTGACTATCTTCCAAATGGTGCCGCCAATCATGTGCCCAGCATTCAGAGGCGTTATGGATATGCCATAGCCCTTGCCCTTCAACGAAACTGTTTGGTTGTACTTCAGCTGCGTGATCTTCTCGAAGGCGGTGTCCACATCGTCTAGCGAGAACAGATCAAAGTCACCCATGTTGAAGTGCGACATGTACAGATCGTACATGAACATCTGTCCCATCTTGAAAACTGGTATCGTGGCATAAATGGGACAATTAAGTCCCAGTTTCCCCACCAGATAGGGCAGGGCGCCCAGATGATATGCATCTGGATGGGATAGCAGTACGGCATCCAGCGTGTGCACTTGCCTGAAATGATTGATTCAGAATGTTTTGTTTATTTATTGCACCGCCGGCACTCACCTTTTGAGTTCCTTTATGAAATTGGCATCGAACTTCTCGTCCCATCCGCAGTCTAGCAGAATACGCACATCGTCAATCTGGAGTATGTAGCATGGCGGCGACTCATCCATTGCCCCCGATATCGTGTGCAGCTTGATAATTGAAGTCATTTTAGGGAAATTAACTAAATAAACAAATTCTCGAATCCAATTTTGGCTCCAAAACGCGCTATGCCGGTCCAGGGCTGCACAACAGTGTCGGAAATACGGGAATATACCGAAAAACTCCAGCCCAATGCTTAGCTTAGCTTATCAGTTTAAAGCATTTCAGCATCTTATCTGTTTGTTGATTTAGCAATTGACACCCCTTTTATCTCAAGTATCTTCACTTATTGAATCAGATTGTGGAGAAATCTGCTGCAACAACAAATGCATGGCTTGATTATTTCAGTGCCTGTGCAGCCCTGGTGCATTCTGCATAACCAGAGCCATTTATAAATTACTGATAAAATCCACAAATATTGACGGATATGTGTTACTGTTGTGCGGGAGGAGTTCGTGTTCTGATCCCGCTCCAACATAATGATTTTACGGATCCCGTATCGCCTGCACACTTATGACTTGCTGAAGACCATTGGCATCGTTACGCTCATCGTGTACTTGGCGCTGCCCTTCCGGTTTGCGTCCCACTACGACTACATCGATGTCGACCACATAGAGGAGGCGCTGCTGCCGCAGGTCACGCTAAATGTCTCCCTGCAGCAGCTGTTCGAATGCACCTACACGGACATCATTGCCAACAACCGATTTGTGTACGGTAGCGCCCACTACCACGAGAACGTGCAGCATGAGGAAGAGATCAGGCCAGGAGGGGAATTCATGCCGGAGCAGTGTCAGGCTCGGTACAGCACCGCCATTATTGTGCCCTACCGGCAGCGGGAGAAGCAGCTGCACGCCTTTCTCACCTACATGCACAACTATCTGCGCCAGCAACTGATCCATTATCGAATTTTTCTGGTCGAGCAGTACGACCAAAAGCCCTTCAACCGCGCCATGCTCTTCAACATCGGCGCCAAGGTGGCGGCCGAGTACGGATTTCCGTGCCTCATCCTCCACGACGTGGATCTCATGCCGCTCAATTCCGCGCAGATGTACGCCTGTGTGGAGAGGCCGCGTCACATGTGCTCGGCCCTGGACCACTGGCGCTTCCACCTGCCCTACCAAGGCCTGTTTGGCGGTGTGGTGTCCATAACAACCGAGCAGTTTAAGCAGATAAACGGAATGTCCAATCTCTACCATGGCTGGGGCGGCGAAGACGACGATCTTTATGTGCGTATAATGGCCGAGGCAATTGGCATCTGCCGCTTTGCACCGGAGTACAGTGAATACACGATGCTGAAGCACAAGCCGGAGCAGCCCAATTCGAATCGTGTGGCACTCCTTCGAGCCGCTAAATTGCGGCAGCACATGGATGGCCTCAGCACGCTGGTCTACAAGGAGGTGGAACGACGGATGCACAGCCTGTTCACGCACATTCTGGTGGAGACCTGAGCGGCGACTCAGTATTGTTAATTAGCTTTTAGCTTTTAACCATTTGTTAGGGTACTAAGACTAGAACTAGGACGAAATAGGGTGTGCCCAGTGGATAGTTACTCCACCCAGGAGAGGGGGCTTGTTGGCTAGTTAGTCGCACTGTTTTAGTGGCTGGCATTTTGAATTGTTTTAGATTTGGGAGATACATAGATAGTTTTAGATAGTTTATCAAGAGATTAGCTACTTTGATCGTGATATCTCCACTCATTAGGCTAAGACGGGAAACAAAGCTGTTATGGAAATAGTAGTACAATGTGAAAATCCTTGAATACTTAAGACTATGCTGAATAATCATGATTAAGCACCACGCTCTGCATCTGCCAAAAGTAAATGAATAAATGTGCAAACTGTTTGTTGAATGGAATTTCCCAGGAAAGTAATATAAATCATTCAAGTGAAATCGAAATTCGATTACATTTCTTTTTCCTGTTAAAGTTTTTTGAGTCATTAGAACTTTGCTTTCGTTCGTTTGTTTCTTTTTTTTTTTGAAGCAATGTTCATTACTTTGGTTGGAACATTTAGGAACTAGCCTAGAACCACGTTCCCCTTCACCAAATTCTTGTAAGTTTTACATTTAGATATAGATCAGCATTATTACACGTTTGACTCTGCACCCTGAAGTATAACCAAACCAAAGGTGCTGGAAGGTGTTCTAAAGCCAAACCATCGCCTGGATGGCGCTGAGCGTCTGCTGGAGGATCGCGTTTTCGGGCCCGAGTGTCTCATAGCGCACAATAATGAGATCTGCACAGGACTGGAAGGCGGAAATTTGGTCAGGATGACATTGGATGGACTCGCTACGCATTCCATACAGATGCCAGGCATGGAGGCTGCAAAGAAGGATGGACCCATTGCGTATTTCGCATAGATCGGGCAGCCCTGCGGTAAGTAAAGCAGCAGTTAAATCGTTCTCGATTTTAGTGAGTTCCCCTCTTTCAGACGACTGGAATGGCAAGATAGTCGACTCGTTGCAATATATTTTGTAAAATATAATTAAGGAGCAATTGCACAATGCACCGGTAGGGGGGACAAGTACATGGATAGTTGGTTGGTTGGCTTTTTGTCTAGCTAACAATTATAATAATAATATACTAGAATTATTGCTACATGCATTCGTTTCACATTTGATATCGATAGCGTTGTGGAATGTGACAACGAGCAGGCGGGCGGATCGGACCAATAGGACCTCACCTCACACCCACCTGCGTTAAAATCTAAGTACATAATACATACATATATAATTTAAAATTTTTTAAACATACGCGCGCACACACACACATGGGACACATTCGTACAGGTAAATTGATGTATATTAGATATATATGGAATTGGTTAATTTGGCTACGACTGTGTCTAGTTCAAGAAGCTAAGTATGTCCTGCTGGGAGAGTGCATTGAGGTTCTGGCTATCCGTTGCGTGCATCATTTGCGTCTGTGTCTGCGGCAATAGTGTGGGTGGTGGCGCCATTATCGCCTTGTTCATGCCCAGACTCTGTTGCTGTTGCTGCTGCTGAATGCTGTTCAAGCTGTAGCCCGTCGGATAGATATAGTTCACTTGCGGCTGCTGCAGCGTGTACATATTGGCACCGTTCATATTGCTTGGCTTTGGGGCGCCACCACTTCCACTTCCAAAGGGATCCAGGTTGTCCAGCGATGAGAAGTTATTGTTGCTGGCCTGCGGTGATGCGAGCTGATGGTTCATGACCAGCGGATTGGCACTGTGCCAGCCATTGTTGGTACTGGGAGCTGGTGCCAGGCTGCTCAGGTTGCTCTGCATCAGCGAGGAGAGAATGTCTGGCTTGGAGGCGACTGCTGCTGCTCCTGCTGCTGTGGGTGCTGCGGACAGTGTGGGCGCCACGGCTGGCATGTTCATTGTATTGTGCGATATTCTGGAATAGCAAAGGGAGGGGGTTCTTGAGTTTTCACTGCTTCGTGCTGGTCTGCTGATTCCTACTTGAGCTGTTCCCTTGTCTTCATGGGCTCCAGGGTGCTGGCTGCAGTCACTGGTGCGCCTGGTGACTGACCCACTGTAAAGCCGGAGAACATGTCATCGTTGTTTTTGTTGCCATTGCTGGCGCTAGGGGAAATTGTGCTGCTCTCCAGTTCATTAGCCAATATCTCGGAAGCATCTTTGGGTCTGTAAATCAAAAAAAAAAGCATTTCAATTAAGGCCTTCCAAAGGAAAAGCTGATGATCTGATTTTACTTATTGTCTCGCTGGATGGTGGATAGTTGCTGCAACTTTTCGCGCTGCTCTTGCTCCACACGGCCCAGCATCTCCTTGATCAATGCGATTATCGTATTGAATTGAGCAATGGTCAGGCCATTCTCCACGCTGAGAGGCACCAGGAATGGCACACACTTGTGTGCCATCACATCCTTGGTTATTCCCAGCTTTGTATTGGTCATGGCAATTTTATAGATACCTTGGGAAACGAACAAAGAAAATAAGTTGGGGGGGAACACGTTTCGGGTCTACACTCTGGACTCTCACCAATGATGCCCATGATAATGGCCGGCTCGCGGCTTTGTATTTGCTGCAGGAATGGCAGAATCTCGTCTAGCACCAGCCACTTGTCGAGGTTCTCCAGCAGCTTGCCTATGGATATCAGACAGTTGACCTTTACCGAGACATTGCTGCTCTGCAGGCAAAGTTTCTTGATGCGCGGCAGCACCGAGTTCTTCATGGCATTGTAGTCGATCAGCGTGGAGAATGTGGGCAAGACGGCCAGACAGAGTTCCTGGATCTGCGGCATATCGCACTCCAGAGACCGATACAGCAGCGGCAGCACACTTTGCTTCACTTCCTCTGCGGGTGTGAGCTTCAGCAGGAGATCCATTTTCTGCATGAATATCAGCAGAATCTGTATGGGATCCGTCAGCTTGAAGATGGGCTTCAGATGGGGCAGTATGTGATCGCAGTACTCCCGCTGGCTGCTCATCTCAGCTATCAGTAGGACATTGGGCAGCACAAACGGAATCATTGGCGAGTTGACAAACTCCTTGACCAGATAGGGCAAAATCGAGTGGAGATTCACGCGGTGCGGCAGCGTAGGAATGATTTGCGGCAGACCCTTGTAGAACTTGGACTTTTGCAGATTGTCCCACTGGTAGAGGGAGTCCAGATAGCTGAGCGTCTTCACGCCCACATCCTGGAAGTATACGATCTGCTTGAGCTCGTGCAGTTTGGGCCGCAAACTGGCGCTGGGATGCAGCAGCGCCTTCAGGCTCTCCGTCAGCTCATTGGGAATTGTGTTCATGGCTGGATATTTGCGCTGATTCAATTCGTTGCAGTATCTTCTGAAGCCACTGTAGTCGCTGCCAAACATCTTCAGAGGCTTGCCCGCGTAAATCGTAAAGATGAGCACGCCTGAAAGGGATTTGGGGGAGATTAAAGCAATGCCTTTGTGATCATTCGCTGCACAAACCCAAGGAGAAGAGATCACTGTCCGGGGTATTCACACTGTTCAGGGCCAGCTCTGGCGCCGTGTACTCCAGACTGGGCTGGGCCAGAACATGCAGCGATGTGGTGTACTCCCGGCAAGGCCAATGCGGTGTGCCATCCGTTGCCGGCTGATTGGCTATGCAAAAATCGAAGCCAAACAACTTCCAGCTGCGATTCTTGTTGATCACAATCGTCTCGGCGCTAATGTTGCGGTGAACGATTTTGGCGTCGTTGTGCAGGAACTGCAGGCCGTCGAACAGCTGCAGCAGACCGTGTCGTATTTCCACATCGTACAGCTTCTTCTCGGAGCGCACGGAATCGCCGACGACATTCGAGAGGGAGGCAAAAACCGGCTCCGTGGCAAAGGCCAGCGAGTCGCGACTCTCCTCGAGCGGATGCTGCACAGTCAGCACATGCGGATGTCGGATCTTGGTCAGCTGCTGCACGCCACGTCGCAGTGTCTCCAGCATTGTCTCTCTGTCGTCCTTAGACCAGCGTTCCAGGACCTTCTTCTCGAACACAAACACAGACACCTCCTGCTTTGTGCTCTTTTTGTAGCCATTGTAGACCTTCCACATAAGACCTGTGTACGTGTAGGATGTGATATAAGCCTCAATCTGTTAACGTTGCTGACCCCACCACACCCACTCACCCACTCCGGCGGTGCACACCTGTTCCAGGACCTCGTACTCCCGTGTTACGTTGTTGCCGGGCAGCACACCCGACAGCGTGGACACCGTGTGCACTGCTGACGAGTAGAATTTGTTTATCATGTCCATCCTGCCTAGATATGTGTGATTTTGCAGCAGCCACGGGTCCGGAAGTTATTGCAAAATTATTTTTTGCTAAAATTCTTTTTGTTTTAGTAATCAATAATAATTAGTGATGGCCGATAGTCCGACTAGAGGTGTCGCCATATATCGATATATATATATATGAAATAATGAAACGCAGTTATCGTTATCAAAGAAAAAAAATGAAATTATCAATGAAATAATGAAACGCAGTTATCGTTATCAAAGAAAAAAAAATGAAATTATCAATGAAATAATGAAACTATCAATGAAATAATGAAACGCAGTTATCGGTATCGAAGAAAAAAAAAAATTATCGGTATCAAGTAAATAGCAGCCCGCAGCAACTACGAATTGCACGAGTCTGGCAACGCCACAAAAAACGACGTCACATTCGTTTTATCTTGTTTTTGTTTGAACCTTAATATGTAAATATTCCAATAAAAAGGACTTCTGAAAACTTCAATCGTGTAGAAAATTTATTTATCTATCGGATAAGATTGTTTGTTTAGGGTTGAGAGGGCCAACTAGCTAGTAATATTAAACGGAATATCAAAATCAAGGAATATGATTAAGCTGTAAGTTAACAGAGAGCGGTAAAACTTATAACGTAACGCAGTGTTGTTTAATGCGAAACTTTTTAAATGCGCATTCAAATTGTCAGTTTGTTGTACATCGTCGGGTTTAGGCAGTTTTTGTTATTTTTTCCTGCAAACGGAACTTGAATTTTAAATCTCTGTAATTGGCAATTATTTTTCTATAGCCTGCACTTATATACACCGCGTCTTTGTTGACAAAGATCAGGCCCCCCAGGAAATTTGTTTAAGTACATAATTTGTATTCGTTCGATGTTGTTACCATTAAGTGGAATGCTGTGCTCCAGCACCCACTACACAAATATTTCAGGCTTGACTGATTCTGATTTTGGTTATATGCCCTGCTTTTGTTAATTATTAACTATAATCAAAAGAGAAGATCTCCATGTGATTTGTTAATGTGGAAAACGCGCTACTAAACAGTTTTATTAATGACAAATGACTGACAAAGCCACGTGCTATTCTTTCATAGATCCTCCACGAAGGTAAAGTAAACATTTGTGGCAGCCTGCGGCTTTTTGTTGAACACCCATTCGATGAGCAGCAGATAATCGCCCGTTGGTATGGGCGTTGGCAGCTTTTCAGATCTCAAATAGAAGTCCTTGACCCTCTGCAGGCCCTGTAAAAATAATCTTATAGAGTTTCCTAACGAAAAACAATTCCTGCATGACCCACCACATAAGGACATGTATGATTTATCGTCGAGTACTCCTTGAACAGTTCCCAAACTATGCGAACCAATGCACTGTTGCGCCTTCTAATGAACTGGCAGGCATCAAAGTTGACCTTGTACAGCCAGGGCTTGTAGCCGTTGGCCCGCTTCATGAGCTGCGCTTTGACAAACACATTGTGGACCGGATGGTGCAGCATGGCATCCACATTGAAGCAAACCTTGTTCCGACTGACGGCCCTCAAGCGGCAAACATTGAACTCCACCCAGGATTTGTTGTACGATTCGCAGACGGCATTCGTCATCTTGAATATCACAGCGTCCTGGAATGATTTAGATGCAAAATATTACTGATTCTTCACTTTGATAACTCCATTTAATACGCTGTGATAATGCTCCAAGAGCAGATGGAACAGAAAAATGGCCAGCACTCTCCTCATGCTGGCGAAATGGTTTATGTGGGATGTTTAACACGGTCTACACGCTTTTGTTTGCCCCCCATCAGCATTTGGATATAATAATCGTGGATATATATATATAGAATTTTATACATTAGCGATCAATCAATCAATTTAGTTCTCGTTAGCTGACCATTCTGCTAGCCTCTCGTTTGAGTATCATAGAAAAGGCTTGGTGCACATTTATTCTAGTGTATTTTTAGCTCAACCTCCGACAATGTTAAACAATTTATTCAATCTATTAACTATTCAAACTTCTGCGCCATAATACATAGTAAATACTTCGTAGTACCTTGACTAAGTGTTTCCATCTGACCTTTGTGGCCATTATCGCGTAATTATTATTTAAAGGCTTCTGCATTTTAGTCACAGTTGCGTTAACTTGGCTTTAACGAGTGTCTGTCTGCACTTTGGCATTGCTCAGATCAGGGAAAGAGTTTTCGCCCTATGCCAACACCCGCAACACTTGGCTAATTGTTGTGGGTGTTGTTTCCCCCCTTTTGTTTCTCAATTCAAATATTATTACGCAAATCAAAGACACACAATCGCACCAAAGTCGGAAGTCAAGTTTTAGTGAGAAAAAAGTTCAGGGGTATTTTGTGAATTTATTTGTTTTATTTTTTGGGTGCTGTCCAATCATTTTGGCATTTAATTTATGCCCCAAATATGATGCATGCACCCGTACAAAATTTTGTAGGAATAATTCATGAGTCGAGTTGAATGTCAAGCAGTGGCCGGTGCTGGTGACAAAGTTCAAGTGATTTGGCGGTTCTGTTTTGGGGCCATTTCCAGTATCAGTTAGTCAGATTGAACTCTAAACTGTCTGACTAACTGGCTAAACATTTCCATGTTTTCATTAATGGCTCGTTGCACTGTCAACACCTGTCAACAACAACATCAACAGCCGCATGTCCGTGTCCGTGTCCGCGTCTCGGCCGTGTCGACGTCAGCCGAGAGACTTGGCCTGCCGCTGCCACTGTCAGTGCCACACTGAGAGCCACTTGAGATGCATTTGCTTATCCCCACAGCAAAATTAATAGATTTTATACTTTTTGCTCTGGCAAACACACACACAAACACACACACGAAACCCAATCAATAAAGCACTCGAATGCATTTAGCTGAATCGCTTTAGCCACTGGGACGGGGGCACTGCTGGGGACTTTATCGCTATCCCGGCCACCAGCTCTGGTCTCCCCAAACGAAATCCCCGTACGTATAACCCCACCATGAAGATGTTGCTCTATGCAATTCGGTGAGTTGTTGTTTGCACGATTTGTTGCCGTGGCCGACCGTCTTTGAACCCGCTCTGAATTTCAATGGGCTGCGCTTCGTTCATCCATGTCGATGTGTTCCACCGCACCACTCCACCTCACATACTACACACACTTTCCAGCCAATGTGCTGGTAATTTTTGCGTTCTATCGTGACTGATATTTTTATAAGGAGGGTGGGGAGGTTGGTGGTTGCTGGGAGCTCGCGTTCAGCCATAAAATAAATCAAGGAGCCTGACACACAAGAGTCAATACTAAATCACGCCAGGAACGGCAAATTACCCACAACTAGCCGTCGCGTAGTCCTCTCAACGCTCCGACATCTCCGATAATTATGCAGTGACGAGCGAATTTCGATTCGAGTCTCCCCTCACCGAAAAATTGCCTTGGCAATTACCTTTCGGATTTGCAGCTTCTATACGTAGACATTGACTTTGATTTCTTTTGGCTTGGCACTTTTGTTGCTTGTACTCGTATTTGTTTGTTGATTTGTCAGAATTGGCTGTGAGTATGGTAAAAACCAGAATGACTATGCAAGTTGCTTTTGGCCATTATCATGCTGAAGCTGGCCAATTCTGTGTCTGTGGTATGCAACCATTTAGATGGATTTGATATTTGCCGTTTGGATTTGGTTCTTAAGTGAAGGTCAACTTTCGCTGAACGATTTTTATTACACACTTTTATGTTTGTTTCACAAAAACAAACTCGTTTGCGTTTATTGTAAACACGAGTATATTTGCATCAAGTCTTGGGAGAATGTCATTCTACATGTACATTGTATATTGAATTATTTTTTTTAATGTTAGAATTGAGAAGAGGCTAATATAAAACTCTCTTGTGGAATGGGCTGAATAATAAGCCAAGCCACAATAGGTAATAAATAATTAATGGCGATGCCTAATTAAAAATCGAATGATCTGGAAGAAATCATTTCACGTATTGAATTTCGACATACTCGTAGGTATAATAAATATATACTTTCGTACTTTGAACTCCCAAAAAACTTGATGTACGTATAAGTACTTAATTGTGCCAATGATATGTAAATCATTTTGAACGTGTGCGAGTCTTTGCCAAAGTGGTGTCTGTGGAGAGCTGAACCAGATCGGATCGGCTACAGAAGTGTGCACTTGAGTACCCTTTGATGGGGGCGAGGGCATAATTAATATGCACTGACAGACTTGAAAATATTTTTTATTTTTCTTACTTTATATTTGTCATTAATGGGCCTTTTGTTTCAAACATCATTTATTCCGTAGATTTGTGTGTGTTTGCTGCGGCTTTGGGTTTTTGGTTTGGTTTTTCGTTTTTGCGTTTGTTGACTGCCTTTGTTCACTGTGAGAAGATACAGTGCCAAGATATAGATGGGATGGCTACAAAACACGCTGGGAATTACGTGATTGATGGCGGACCTCTGATACAAGTACAAAACAACGTTAAGAACCGGGCGAATGAGTGGAATACTCGTACGTACTGCATACGTACCCACTGTAGAAGTAGAATGCTTATGTATTGATATATTATAAGCAGACAGAGGCAAAATCAGTGAAATCTTGTCGCGTCTAAAAAGGAAAATCACACAGCAAATGCAAAATTTATGAGCGAACTACGTCGAACGACGTCTCCGGGCAGAACGATGCAGGCATGCCAAGTAGGATTGGAATGGCCCGAACGGATGTCGATTGCACTGGCGATGACTCAATTTAAGGTCCGTGTAGGTTCAACTCCTCCTCTCCATTTTTTTTCACGCAGGCCACAGATCAAATGTGAACAGGTCTGATTCTTGGGTTGAAGTTTAAGTTTAAGTTTAAGTTTAGCAGTTAATAAATTTTCCATAGCTAATACTACCCTGTAATGGTGGCGCAGAAGGGTTTATTGATGAATTAATACACATGAATTCCTACGAATTATTTGCAGAAGATTTTATTTAGTCTGTCTATTACTGAATGGAAAAATAATTGAGACATTGCTAAAGTATCTAGGATATTCTACATACTGGTAGAGGCTTAGGCTATATATAATTAAAACTTATCACCATAAAATATTTAATGCAATAACAATAGAACACCAAACGGCTTTCTATTCAAGATTTTTCTTGTTGGCAGCATTCCTTTCTCTTTCATTTGAATAGTTTTTGCTTGGACAACTTTTAATTATATAAATTTCGAATTTAGACCTGTATCCTGTATCCTGTATCAAATATTCTCGGATATAGCTGAGGCCCGTACTCTCTCTCTCCACCAAAAAATAAAAGCGCCACTCAATTTGATTTTTGGTGTCGCTACTGCTGCTTCTGCGCGCTCTGCTTGGCTTACCGCCTACTAAAACCGCTGCGCTTGCGCTGCAGTCAACGCTGACGACGCTGCTGCGACTGTTGGAGCCACCGAAACGTCGAGCCGCCGAATCGCTGAGCCACCGTCACCGCCGCCGCCGCCGTCATCATCGGGCGTCATCAGGTGTTGTGGTTTTTGCAAGCCGCGCTCGAGCTGAGTCTGTTTTCGTCTGCCTAGGAGCGCGGTTCTGGAACGCGTATCGTTGATCGTCGCTCGTACTCTTAGTACCTCGTACTCCTCTCGTTTTCTGGAAAATTCCTAGTTGGTTTTTCCAAGCTCGGGACTCCACTTGGATCGGTTCGGATCAGTGCGCGCGCGCTCAGTCACCCCCCCCCTGTCAACCTGTTTTGAAAATTTTTTGGCATTGCCAGCCGCAATTTTTGGAATTGGTTTTTTTCGATACTACCATAGAGATTGTGCAACATTGCGTGCGGCAAGAGCGTAAAAACCGTTTGACAAAATTTCGAAAGTGAACAAAACCAAAAATTACAAAAAGAAAACCAACAAAAAAAAAAAAAAAAAACATTACCAGCCACAAATACGGCAAGCGAAACACGAGAGGAAGATTCCGAGTGGCAGATTAACGAAGCCCACATACAAATACAAATAATTTGTTTAGCCTTTTGTCGAAATCCATTCCGTCGGTGGGCGTGGGATCTTCGGCAGGCAGCGAGCGAGCAAGAAAATTGGTGAGTCTTCAATTACCTGGGATTGGATTATAGCAATCTGCTCTCGTACTCGTACTCGTATGACAAATGCTATTACTATTACGTACGACAACGGCTTTCTAAAAAAAAACAAAAATACCCAAAAAAAACGAGTTGGATTCGCTCTGGCAAGGAGAGAGACCAAACCAACAGCTACACACAAACACACACACACCACTACATAGTAGTTGTAGTATAGGCCCAAAAAAAAATAATGTGTGAAATTTCAATGAATTTTCCAAATTTTATACACAAACACCACAATTGGGAAATAATTCATTGTTTCGAGTCTGCAATGAGAGTCGAGGAGACTACAAAGAATCGATAATCACACATGGCTCGGCTCGCCTCGAGTATTATTACGTTATTTTGTTTATGCCAAACGAGTTTCAACGAGCCCAACCCACAGAAAATGCAATTCAGTTGGATTAAACCACCTATTTCTGGGTCATATGCAATGCTTATTGGGATCAATATCTAAATTATCGGATTGCGGTGTTGGTTTTAAAAGAAATAAGATCTATCCACAAATTTGTGGACCTTTCAAAAGCTTTAATTGAAATTTGTCACGCTTTCAGGTTGTAAATTTCAAAGATTCTAAAATCAATTACGTAGATTTGTTGAATATTTGTAATAGGTTTTTGTTGAAGGTTTTTTTTATTGCGCCGTGAAATTAA